TGCAAAGGGCAGAACTGCCAGGGCAGCATGGTTATAATTTGTCCCAGTCAGAGGAACAGCATTTTCCACAAGAAATGTGGAGACCCCTCACACTTAAAGCAGAAGCAGGGAGGTTGTATCTATATTTGTCATGCTGATGTTTAAAAAATGGTTCACTTTTTTTTTTTCAGCAATTCATAGGGAAAAAGCCCACTGTAGTCCTTGAAGAATTTCAGCCTCATATGCCTGTATCAGCTGCTGAGCTGAAAATGCATTCACAAATCCAGCTGTTACTGTGCATGCCAGTTTTCCTATTTCTCCTTTTGCCTCAAAATTCTCTACTTCCTTTTTAAAATATGTATACCATATCCTGTTTTCTTGAAGTCAGTATGTACAAATATTTCTTCCATTGTTAAAACAAATACAAATAATTTCTTGGGTCTTTTCCAGTTTTGATGTTTTAGATCCATTTTCAGCTGCTGCAGAAAATCTGTCATCCAGAGCTTTCCCCAGACAGAGGGTGTGGCTCTTCAGGCTTAAACTGTGCAGTCCTGTAGCTGATTACTTAAATGGAATCAGACATACTAAATTAAGCCAAACTATTTGTCTTTATGGCCCTTCCTTCTATGATTGGAATGAAGCACATTTGTAGAGCTGGAATAAATAGAGTTTACCCAGCAAGCTCCTGGCTGGGGATTGTTGAGATGTGATCACAGAGCTCTGTTTAGTGCTAAAGATTTCAGGGAATTTGAATTTCCTGGAATTTTTCAAGTGTTTATAAAACCTTGACTCCAGTCTCTCTCTCTCTTTTTCTTTTTTTTTTTTTTTTGAAGTATTTTTATTCTGGAGATTGAAGGAAAAATATTTTCTGGGTAACATTTATCTGTTTATTTCAATCTATGAATTTTTAATTGTCCATTGTATCTTCATCATAAAGAACACTAAATACACAACAAATTCTATTTATAAATGATTGAGCATTATTCATGTTTTTTCTGGAGGGGAATGTATCTTCTATTTGTTAGATGAGGTGGGAGTAGGGATTGATGTAAATCACATTTTAAGGCATGTGTGGTGGTAAGGGGAAAAGGATTTCCATAGGGATGACAATTTATTTGTATATTCTAATCCAGCAGCTCAGTCTGACTGAAGAAGTATTTCTTTGGAAAGAGCAAACATCTTCAGTTTTAAATATTTGTCAGAAATATAAGCCTATTTTGGAAGGTAAATATGATGGGTATAGGTGACATTAAAGCACTGCACTAGTAGACAGCGGTGGCTCAGGAATTTGATTTTCCTTCTTTCTCAACACCCCATATTTGTGGGTTTTTTCTGCATGTAAACCACATTTTTTGTGGGTTTTTTTGCTGTGTGATTTTGCAGTGCTTTGACCAGTAATTGTCTTGCAAGCTAGTCATGACACTCCTATAACATAGTGTAGTTTTTGTCATATGTATCTAAGAGTGGTCTTTGTGTTTGTCTAAAACTTCATCCAGTCTCTCAAGATTTCATTCCCTCAGTCTTTTTTGAGCCCATCAGGGATGCCCTGAGTGGTTTGCACATGGCCTCAGAAATCTGGAGTTTTTCTTTTTGGAGAGAATGTAAGTGAAAGGATTCTGAGGAGGGGACTGAGTACAAATCCAGTCTTACTCACACATTCTCCACTCTGCTGTGTGTAGAGACATATTTTGAAGAAAAGGAGTGCAGCAAGACAACCTGAGAGCAGCCTTGAGTTGTCAGAGGAGCACCAATGAATCATATCTTATTTTAAGGAAAGGGATAGCAGTGGAGTTACCAGGTCACAGGCAACGTTTGTCTGGGAAAGGGTGTTGTATTTAGAAATAAACAGGGTTTAACACATTTTAAACACATTAACTGAAATGAGCAAAGTCAACAGGAAAGTGCTTTTAGCACCAAGTGTAACAAAACAAAGAGTGTGTGAGACTTTGGATGGATAGTGGAAAGAGAAGCAGCGTTGTTGTATAAACTAAATTTTAGTCCCTAACTTTCTGGAATACCTGACATCCTATTCATATGCACAGATTACACTGCTAATGAAACTTTGAAAAGAAGGTTTTTGAAATTTTTAGCTTATAAATTTCTAAACTGATTGCATCCTGATTAAACTAATATCCCCCCCCCCTCCTATGACCTAAGTTCAAATTATGTGATTTGCAAGTTAGACCATGGTAGATTTGCAGTATTCAGAATCACATGCAAACAAGCTCATAATTTCAACATAATAATTTTTTGAGCACTAAGCAAAAAGCTTTTATCATTAATTGCTGTGTATACATTAATTCTGTAGGAGATGTAGACTTCATATTAACATCAGTTTTCACCTTGAGAGATTTTCCCTTGACTTTATTACAATAAAAGCCTAGAGAAATAACTATTAAGTCATACTTTTAGAAACATGTATTTCCAGAATTTAGTTTTAAAAATGCTTTCCTCACCTCATAAAGTGGAGTGATTTTGTAAATTCTCTCAGGTCTTTATTCTTCATGGCATACACTTGTTCAGTATTTTTTTCATTCTTGTGTATTTTATGTGTAGCCAGTCTGGATTATTTGTGGGTAAAAGGGGGACTCTGAGTATCCCCTGCTGGAATACGGTGAGCATCTGAGTAAAGCTTTCTTATAGCTGTGTTTATCTGGCTTTCAGTTCTAATTATATTTAACACCTTTTACAGTGAGGTGAATACCTTTTTCAGTAGTCTTGGTGTGTGACTGACAGGTGGGAGTCACACAGGTCAGGCGCACCGTGTGTGAGCAGGCAGAGGCTGGCATCAGCCTGAACTCCAGCATAAAGGTGCTGTGTCTCCACCTCCAGCAGCTTATCCCATCACTGGTACTCAGGACTGCTCCTGTGTATTTTTCGCCTGGGGAAGCTCTATGTGCATGAACATGTGAGGAAGGATACATGGGAATTATGTGTTTCCTAGAATTCTTTATTCGTTCCCATTCTTGTAGCCATTTTCAGCAGATTTTCTGGAGCATTTCTAAGGGTGCTCCTGTCATCTTTTGTGCACAGATCTGAGCCTCACTTTGTAGGATTGCTCTGCAGACAACAAAGGGAGGCTGCTGCTTGCAGTTATACCTCTGTGTATTTCCCAGACATAAAATCTGTCATTCCTTCCTCCCATACTCTCACTTCCAATGTTAGACTGGATGGGTTAAGGGGTGAGGTAAGGTGAGGATTTCAGTCAGAACAGAAGGATTAATTTTAGGCACTGCTACACCACAGCATTTAACTCCAACCTGCTCGAAACAGCACTGCAAGGGCATCAGGAGCAGTGGTGGGCAGGCAGAGCTCGTGGAAATGGCTTCCAGGTTTAGGGGCTTCGAGTGTGAGCGTGCACCTCTGAGAGCATCTCTGCCCATGTCCTGCCAGTGCTGCTGAGTTCTGCATGGGGGTGTGATGTGTTCTGGAAGCTTTCTCACAGCTTTGCCCGTTGGCTTGGTTGCTGGATTCCAGAAATCTGTGGAAATGATGATGAGTCCTCCTGGTTATTGAGCAGAGAGGAAGAAATCCCAAGTTAGCAAAACTTCTCTTAAATATGTGCAGCCTTTTGAATCCAATTTTTGGTGCCTGTTTGGCTAACTAAAAGCAGCAGTTTTAGAGCAGAAAATGTCCCTCATCAATGCGAGCGCACTGTTACTGCGTCAGTAAGGTGACAATAAAAGGATTTTGGTGCTGGCTGTGGCCCTTTGGCTGCACAACACAGTGTTATAACACAAATCCATAAAATGTAACACAAATGCTGGATGCAGTGAGCAGGCTGTACCGAGGGTCCAGCTCTCCTGGGGGAGCTGCCATGACAACTGCACTGCGCCGGAGTTCCTGCGGAGAGCTCGGGGTCACTGGCACTCCGGGTGGCTCTGGATTATTGCAGGCACCAGAGACCCCTTCCTGTACTTCTGCCAGTGTTTACCATTGTCCCAGTGGGTGAAAGATGCAAATGGTCCAGGTATTTGACAGGTATCTGGGAAGGAAAAAAGCTGGTTTCTCTAAAAGCAGATTTTCGTATTACTTCTTTGGTTTCATGGCTTTACCAAATGATTCTAATGTTTTACTTCTAAATTTCATGTGGGCATGCAACGTTAAAAAAAAGGGAAACAACTATACGTTAAAATTTTAATCCATTTACATCAGAAAAAATAGCTTGCTGCCTGCAAACACTTGTTTCCCTCACAAGGGAATTAGAATGACCTCAGTGGATTTCCTTGTTGTGATTTTTTTATTTTAACTGTTTTTAAAGCAGACACTTGCTCTTCCACAAGCAGATTTTTATTGACTTTTGAGGACGGAGATTTTTTCAAGGTCTTTGGTTTTGTGCTATTAAAGAATGTCTAATCCATCTTTTCTTTCTGATATCCTGATCCTCCTTGACATACATTAGCTGGATAACATCATTATCCAGGTAGCATCATTACTTGGATAATTAAAAACAGACAACTGCAAAGAGCATGGAAGGGACTCTATTTCTTTATTTTCCTAAATATGAAATACCTTTTAATGAAAAGGGGAATTATTTCATGATTTTTTAGCAGGACATTAAAACATGGGAATTAAATGCCGCAGAACATAAGAAAAAAAAAACAATTTGCAGATGCAATCACTTTAACTCAACAGATCTTCCCACAAGCAATTAATGTATTCTTAATACAAAAAGCTTTGATATTTGAATAGTGTTTTCAGATGTTCCTGTCAAAGTAATGTGTGTGTAGTTATAGGCAAAAGTCATCAGCATGCTTGTGTAACTATAAGCAAACGTACAGGTGCTAAATGTTAAGAGTTTTTGGAGGTAATGGGCAGTCATATTTTACATTCTTGGCCCGGATGTTTCCTGCACTGCTAGAGAGCTCAAGCACTGAGGAACCAGAGTGATTGTGTCCCTACAAATGGACATCATGGTATCACTGTGAGAAGATACAGACAAACTTATTGATTGTTGCTGCCTAACTCAAAGGTTTAGTTTAGAAAGTGTGCAAACTGCATGTGTGTGTTTTGCTGTCCAGGTAACGTGCTTGCAGGACTTCTTTGGAGATGACGACGTCTTCATCGCGTGTGGGCCGGAGAAGTACCGGTATGCTCAGGATGACTTCGTGTTGGATCACAGTGGTAAGGCTGCACATCCTGAACCCAGCTGAAATAGGGAATTCTCTATCCCTTTCCCCTGTTCCACCCTCAAGAACGGTGTGATTTAGGAAAATATACACGGGAGGATGTTTTCCTATGGGTAAGAGTTTTTTCAAACCATCTTCTGGATGCTGTAAGCCTGTTAAAATGCACCAACAAACATGATCCAAATTCCTACAAAGCAAACACTGTCCCTGAAGTTAAATGGAAAGCAGAATTTAATTCTCCAGTCTTGTCTGCTACAGACCAAGTGCTGGCCTTGTGTGTATTTTGAGATTATAGGAAGGAGGTTAGACAAACTGGGACTTTGTGCCCCTGCTGTCTGCCTTGGGTAGATCATGAATTCAACTTGTTTATGAAAGTTGCTTTTCTGTAAAGAAAAACTCTCTAAGTTCAAGGAAAAAGCAATCCTCTACCAGAGGGTTTTGGAATTGTCTTGGAATATCAAATCATAAATATGTTGAGGTTTCTTTCCTGCATCTTCATGGTACTGTAGAATGGGTTTGGTTGGAAAGGACCTGTAAAGGGACCATCTAGTCCAACCCCTGGCAATGAACAGAGACATCTTAAAAAGAAAAAATAAATTCAGGTAGCTCCATTGAACCTGACCTTGAATATTTCCTGGGGTGAGATATCTATCACCTCTCTGGGCACCCTATTCTAGTGTTTCACTACTTGCACATAAAAATGAATTCCTTATATTTAGTCTGAATTGACAATTTTTTTTTTTAGTTTAAAATCATTCTTCTTGTTCTATCACTACAGGTCCTACTAGACATGGGTTTTTTTCTGCCTGTATTGTTCTAACTGTAGAAACACCCTGTTTTTCTTTAATGAAGAAAAAAAATTAACCTCTGGTAAATAAAACTTTCCGTGGCAAGAATAATTAGATTATCCCAGAGGAGCTTTGTGCTGTGAATGAAGAATTTTAATTTTTTTTTCAATAAAAGCAACAGCACCTGCTGTTCCTGCAATTTTTACACACACCATTTTTTCATTACAAAATGCTCAGTTGCAGCAGGAAGTACAGATGTGTATTTACCCACTGGCCTGTACATTTGGATGGATAGAGGATTCAGCTGCCTCCCATTCTGCTGTTTCTGCTAGGGTGCTGCTTTTCCAGAACTGCTCCATTATGTTGAGTCAGTTAGTGTGGGGGTGACCAAAAGGGTGTTTTTTAACATAGTTAACAGCTAAAAAAATCACTTTATTCTCATGAAGAAATGGAAAAGCATGGTTGTGTTGACTCACAATGCAAATCCCAGTGTGGGCATGATCCTAATTTCTCTAGCAGGTTTTAAGGCTGTAAATCTGCTTTCCCCATTTCACAAGGCACAGGCTCATTTTCTTGCCTTCATCTCTTTCCTTTATCTCTTCAGCTTTGGTGGTCTCTGCTCCCTCTAATAGCTCTGGGGGTCTTACTGGATAAAAGCAGGTTATGTACATGACTGGCAGGGCATGCAGCTCAATTTACTTTTTTTATCATGATATAGCATCCTAAGGGTGATATTGGCATCGGGGACAAAATAAGGAGAGAAATTTATGATCCCCTTTGGAGTGATTTGCTAAAGATGCTAACCACAGGAATTAAAATGTTTCCAAAATGTCAATGCATGTGTGCTCATTGATTCCACTGCCATTGATGCAGTTATTTAGTGATATGTAGCTGGCGGTAAGTGACAGTAATCTATTGTTTTGGCCTTCTGGAAACAATAGGCATTTTTCACCTGTTCAAAAATTGGTCACAGCATCAGTTTCTTGAAAAAGAAGTGAAATAATGCTGGCTGTGTATGTGCCCTGTATGGAAGTGCCATTACAGCAAGAGCCTTGGCATCAGCATTTGTACAAACTTAAACTGTGGTAATAATCATAAGCTTCAAAATAATAATTATAGTAATAACAAGCCTCAAAACATGAAGAAATATTGCCTGCAGAATGTCACATACAGTACTGAGTAGCTCAAACAGGTTTTTATGGTGAGTAGGTTAGAGTTGTGAGATGCTCTTACAGATCTGTTTGACTCAGCTGGGCAAAGATGTTTGCAAAGTGCTGCTCATTTTCTGGATACAGAGCCACGATGGTGTGTGGAGGGAGCCTGTGCACCAACCTGCTGTCAGAACCTGTGACAGAGACTTTGCTTGCTTTGTAGAATGTCGTGTTATGAAGTCTTACTCCCGCTCCTCGGCCGTGAGACACGCTGCATCCAAAAGTCCAGGACCTTCACGTCGGAGCAAATCCCCTGCCTCAGGTACTACTGCTAGGAAAGAGCTGAACACATCAAAAACATGAAAATTAGTTTTTTTTAATGGGGTGAAAGAACCTGTTGGCTCTGTCTGTAATACAAGTGTTCCCAGAGGGGAAAAAAAAACCCTTTTTTCACTTTATCTCAGAGATTTAATATTAATCTAAAATAAATTTGCAATTTTTCTTTTTTTAAATCCTAGGAAGAAGCATGGTTTCTACTTTTTAATTACAGGCACAAATGGTTTCAGTTTATGAACATTGGAGTAATTTGTGCTAATTGTGCACTTGGGATATGTTTTCAGCATGGCACTTGATTTTCCTGAAAATATCAACTGCAGGGTTATATATGTGGTTAGATTCATGTTCATTGAACTAGAGTATATCCTTAAACTTTGAATTAGAAAAGTTTCTCCTATATAAGCCAAATATTGTCAGAAACACAGGCCTTTGATGGTTCAAGTAATTTTAAGAGATGTGCTGTACTGTGATTGCCCATTAACAGAGAATTTTTCTTCTTGTGCTTCTCATAATTTCAAAGAAAGATGTTCACACTATGACTTTGCCACCAGTTTGGCTGAACACCATATGTTTAAACCACGGTGTCTTTTATGTACATAAAAGTAGGAACCTGGTTTTGTCAAAATTTTTTAACCTCCTAATTTAATTTCTAAATACTTCTTTTTCCCCTGAAATCAAACTATTGAATATGTAAACATAGAATGCTCTTTTTCTAATGTAACTATAAATGTAAGCTTCTGTGTATATTCCAAACTGTGACATATTCCATATTCTCATCTCCACATTTGTTTTGCCTAATTGATGTTGGTTAAAGTAATTTTATCTTTGGATTCTTTCAAAGTGCAGTATCATTAATCTGTTTATAAAGGTTGAATGTTTAACTGGAAAGCTTTGAAGAAGGATTGCAGAAAAATGTATCATGAAGAGCAAGTTTTGCAGCTGATCTACATTTCATGCAATTCTGTTACCTCCAATGAGATCATGTAGAATATCTATCAGCAGTGAATTTTATGCTAAGTATTTATATGTCAGTGTTGTCATTTCCATACTTATTTCTGCTTAGACCCTCTTAGGTTTGGCTAATTTGAAAAATGTATGCAAAGTGTCTGGTATTTATCCTTCTATTTACTTGCCTTTTTTTATTTTTTTTTTTTAACATGAAGTCTTTACTTATCTTTTATTTACCCTTCTTCCTTCCGTGCATGTTCAGAGCTGTTTAATAACTTCTTTCCTTAATGTCTTTTTCCTTTGTGTCAAATATATGAGTACAGTAAAGAGGAGTGGCCACTCCAGTGCTCATTCTTCAGCAAAATCCCCAGGTGAGCCATATGGCTGTATATCACTAGTGTGTCTCCTCCCTCTCCATTTACCTGTATTTTTGGTGCTGTGTTTGTATTTTCAATCTTGAAACACATTTTGCATTGAATGAAGCAAAGACATAATGGGTGTTGAGTTTTTTTTTTGTTGAGGTAGATAATTTCAGTGAAATAATGCTTTTCAGTTGTTGGACATCTGTTAATGGTGTCAAAATTAAGTTTTTAAAGGTGTAATTTGACTACAAGTAGAGGAGCATTCTGAGGAGCAATACATATAATAATAGAAAATTTCAGTCAGCAAAAAGACAAGTGTGAGAATTACTGAAAAAAAGCAATGCTAAACCATCTCATATGTTTCAATTTTATGTGCAATTTCTTCTTTTTCTTTGTTTTGTTGTATTATTTCAGCCTAAATTCTAAAATAACCTGTGGACTCACTGAACTTTCATTTCAAAGTCAAAGCATTTGTGAAACAAGTAGCATACAAATAGATGAGTACATCAACTGAGTCTTTGGATCACACTAGAAGTTAACAATTTAGAAGTTATTCATAGATTTTTAAGTTTTAAACATTCCAGTGTGCCAAACATGTACCCTAACATGTACTATTTCAGAATGACAGAGAAGTTCTGGGCTTTTTCTCTGGATATTCAGACTGGTATGTATGTGGAAAGAAACCTCAAAAGAACTTGTGTTTAGAGAAAATAGATTAAAAAAGTAAGTTTGGCATACACAGGGAATAGCCAGCGCATCAGCAGACAGATTTATGCCAATACAGATTACTGAGTTATTGAGTGAGAGAGAAAAAAAAAAAAAGCTGCTGTCTAAAATAGCAGTGTCATGGTTCAACCTCAGCCAGCAACTAAGCACCACACAGGCACTTCCTGACTTTACTGCTGCAGCAGGATGAAAGAAGTGAATTGGGAGGGTAAAGGTGAGAAAATTAATGGGTTGAGGTATCAGTGGTTTAGAAACTGAAGCAAAAAGAGTTATAGCAACAACGATGCTGCAATGGCAATAAAGAGAGAGAAATAAAACCCAGGACAGGCAAGTGATGTGAATGAGCAGCTGACTGATGCCATCTCGTCCCTGAGCAGCATTGCCTCTGCCAACATTCCCTCATTTTACTGCTGAGCATGATGCTGTATGGTTTGCAGTATTTTTTGGATCAGCTGGGGTCAGCTGTTCCACCTGTGTCCCCTCCCAGCTCACGAGGAGCAGAAAAGGCCTCGATGCTGTGCAGGCTCCGCTCATCAGCAACAGAAACATCCCTGCAGCACTTGCCAGCACAAATCCAAAACACATCCCTGTGCTAGCTGCAGTGAAGAGAATTAATTGCAGCCCAGTCAGAACCAGCACAAGCAGCTGGCTGACTCGCTATAGATTCAAAATCTTTACATCTGGACAGGGCCAGTTCCAGCTTTCACTCATACTGCCATTGCTGAGCAGCTGACATGCAGTGCATCTCCCAAGGCTCTGGCAAAGAGGAATCTGCAGACAGCCCTTTCCAGTAGGATCCTCAGCAGAATGAACTGTGTCTTCTATAATGATGGACAAAATTTGGAGGGGACTTCTGGGTGTCATCTAGTCACACCCCTGGCTTAGAACACCACCCTTCCACACCAAGAATAGTGGAGATTTAGCAAAGAGCTACAGTACTGTCAGTATAGGCTGGGCTCTTCTTCCTTAGACACTTTTGGGAGAGAAGAACAACATTATGTTAACCAGGCAGTTTCACTGGAACAATTCAGTGGTTCTGTCAATGCTTAAAGAGGATGGTAGTGACTTAGATAAGGGTGCCTTACAGTGGTCATGTCCAGGAAGTAGTGACTTTTCTGTGAGCTGTATAAAACAATCTTTGACAAAAAAAAAAAAATTTCCTCCTGTAGTAATAGTTTGCCATTTGGAAGCAAACTCTTCTACTGAAGTATCTCATTTTTGGTCATGCAAGAAGCAGAAAACAGTAAGATAGCAGTCACTAGCCCTTGCCATTGTCACACTTGCCAATTCTGTCTAAAACAAGGATGCACTGATATGCCAGGTTATCCAAAACAAATGGTTGAAGTCTACAGGAGGGTAGTGTACTCTTAGATGTTTTCAGTTTCTGAAGAAAAACAAGAAACCTTAAAATCGCCTATTTTTCTTACAGGCAAGCATTTTTAAAATCAATATGAAAATATCCTAAATACACTGAATACTTTTAAAATAAAATACTATGGTCTTGGTCCTTTAACAGAACTGGGAATATAAATCCAAGTTACCAGGCTTCAAAATAGACTTACTGTGAAGCTGAACACCAATTAGTTGTATCTTAACATCATACATTGGAGAAGGAGATTTTCTGTGAAAAACAGGGATTTGTGTTAGGTGCAGTGCAGTCAGCCTGGCCCAGTGGCAGATGGGCTGCCCAGGATGTAGCAATAGGCCTTGAAAGGCATCTTCCATACTGAGATAATCTTAGTGTGCTGGGTCAGTGGACACTGGTAAAATAAATCAAATAGTTTAAGAAGTAAGACATAACCCATGACAGACCTCAGTATGTAAAGGAATTGTGCAGGTGTATCTCTTACTTAATTTGAAGCTCAGTTTCTGTTTACCAGGGATGTTTTTTCTTTCTGGAAAAAGTAATTCATCACCATGCTATGAAGCATTTTTAGCTCTTAAATTTCTGCCTATTACTGTATTTTTCTCTCCCCCAAAAAAACGAGGATCAGCTAAAAAGAAATGATGTCTCATCATATAACTTTGCATCATATCTGTGTCTGATGGACAGTGTGCTATTCTCTCTGCATGATGAAATTCATCAGTTTGTTCTTTTCAGAAAAATACAAGGACTGACCTAAGTTAAATTCAATACATCAGAGATAACAGATGTTGTATGAGGCCTATCTGAAAATCTAGATTTAAAATAAATGAAGTCTTTAAGTCAAGAAGGGAGGGTGTTGGATGTTTTCAAAGACACTTGTACATATTGGAAGCTCAAAAACAACCTACTAGCTTTTCTCTTGTTGAGGTTTTTTTTCCCCTAAATCAGTATTTTCTGAACTACTGCTAAAGTTTTCTGTCATGCAAACAGTTAAATCTTATTGTTTGTTTGTTTTTCTTAGGGAAAACAAACAACTTCGTGTTCTGTGAAACATTCTGCCTAGAAAGTAAGGCCTTGATCCAAACTGAAGAGGAGGATCAAATATCCTTAGAAACATTTTCTTTCTATAAATTATGTGTGATACCACAATTTATTATGCAATTTCTAAAGGCTGTGGCTTTTTCTTTTTTTTTTTTTGTTTTTTTTTTGTTTGTTTCCGTGCCCAAAACTCTCGCCCTAGGAAAAAACAGAATGTGCCTTTTTAATCTCTGGAATGACAGTGCAGTATTTCTGTGTCATCTTGATCCCATATCCAGCCACCTGAATTTTCAGGGTGCAGTTTTGTCTCATGCAAATGGTGTAATTTATTCCTAAATGCTGAGGAGTTTTTCTTTGTTTTTTCTGTTTTTCTTTGTTTGCAGACTTCGGTAGTAACTTTTGATTTTTATTCATGTTTTCTTTCATTTTTTCACTTTTATTGTTTTGGCCAGTTAATGGAACCCCAAGCAGTCAGTTATCCACTCCAAAATCTACAAAGTCCTCCAGTTCTTCACCAACAAGTCCAGGCAGCTTTCGTGGACTCAAGGTAAGAATCATCAAACCCCCTAAATTTCCTTATTCATTGATAGTATGATACTGTTGCTGAAAGAAAAATAAAAAGCTATAATTTTGGAGGGTAGCCTTGCAAGAATGATGTTTGCTCATATGGAGAATAGATCTGAAATAAGATTTTTGTGTTTTGTCTGGGTTGAACGCTCAGCTTAGGAAAGGCAGAGTGTGATGCTGGCTTGAACATGCCACTTTGTCCTCCAAATTTTCCATTGTTCTGTGGACTGCAGAAATCCTCCAAGCAATTTGTTATCCCTTCGGCCTATATAAATGTAGTGTTGTCTTTTCAATACCTTATAGTCTGTAGCATTGCCCAAGTTTCATCTAAAGCAGAATTATTTCTCCCTGGCACTGATTTTACCCCTCAGTCCAGTCTCCTGCCTGGAAGCGCTTCCTTTGGGAGCAGACTGATGTCTGGCAGATTTTTCTGTGTGGCACCGAGAGATTTGTCTTCCTCTCCCGCTTCAGAGCTGGCTGCATTTGCAGTTCTTGGAGGCTGCTCTGTGCCTTTGGCTCAGTGAAAGAAAGGAACAGTCTGGACTACAGTAGAGCATCTCATTGCTGCATTTGTGCAGCTGTCCTTTCAAGGGGAAATTTCTTATGGAATTGTCAATTGCAGCCTCTCTGGAAGCAGACTGGATGGTCTGCACTGATTATTGTGATCAAGTAATAGCTCCTATTGGTTAACTGAGTGTCTGTGAAGAAGCTGCATAATTCTGTGGAGAACTGTTTTCCCCATTAGGAGCCCGACTGAAGGACGTGATTTGAATAGTGCTCGGATTTGGGGCTTGACATGCTAATTGCTACCAGGTCTTGTTTTGCAAGGAGTATGGCACTGGTTTCTGTCAGACTGCTATGATAGCTCTGACAAAGGATTTTGATTTAGTTTATTCGCCTAAATTTTAAAATAAATTTTAATTTATCTGTAGGCATTTGGCTAACTAATTTTCAAGAGCAGTAATATCTCTGACATGGACAATCAGAACTCTGTGTCTTAAAATCTGTCTGGACAGCTCCTCTGTGGAGCTCACAGCAGAAGACACCAGAACCACTGGGCTTGAGTCTCCCAGCTGGTCTGCACTATCTTTAAGGAACGCTCTTTGGACATTTGCTGGAGTCCCAGGCCAGCCCAGCACCACCAGGGCTCTGCAGAGTGGGACACACCGCAGGAGCAGGGTGACCTGCAGAGCAGCTTAGAGCCAATGCTCCAGGGCAGTCAGTGCTGAGTGTGGAGACAAGGGTTGAAGAGGAGGCTCTTTGTATGGGCTCCAGAAACTGGATTACTGCCCAAACGGATCACGGACCAAGAACAAAAATCACAGGGGTGTGGGGGATTATATAGAGGGGCGGTTCAGGGGGAGGTTACAAATTCTTGCCCAATAGGGAAAACTCAGGGGAGGCTCAGAGGGCAGGACTCACAGGGTTCCAACAAATGGGGAAACACAGTGGGAGGGACACAAACTGACAAGCAGGGCAACAATCCACTGGGGTGTCCTGCTTTAGGGGAATTCCAAAGGGGAGGTCCAAGCCGAGGGTTGGTAGAAGGGAGGATTGACAGGAACTCACTGGAACAAGGGGCAGGGTCAGGGTGGGTTGGCGCTCAAGGGGGAAAGCACAGGATTGACAGAGGGGAGGGACAGAGAACATTCTGGGTGAGGAGGCAGGGCAGTGACAGTGGTTGGCAGGGGACTGAGGAGGTACAACTTGGGGCAGAACAACTGAGCTGAGGGGTGACAGAGCATACCCACAGAACATAATATTTACAGCACAGAGAGCACACATGTGCCACAACAGTCTCTCCTTCGTGAAATTACAAGTTTAGAAACGAGATCATTTGCCTTGGTTTTTTTGCACTGCTTCCCTGTCTGCTTTTAACTGATGAAAGCTCCATTAAGGCATAGGTAATTCTGATAGCAGCAAGCAATTCTCACCAAAGTGGGCATGTCCCCTTTCCCATTCACTTTCACTCAATTAGGCTGCTGTACTTTTTCCATTTGGAATTTAATTGGTGCTGGGTACTGAGTTTTCATGTCAAATAACTCACCCCCGTATGACCAAAGAAAGGAGCAAAACCAAATTAAGCATCTCGGACCTGATGTGTTACTGAGGTTGTGAGTTCCTCTTGTTTTATCCTTTAGGATGCATCTGTTTAGCAGGAGTGTCCCAGCTGTGCTCTTGAGACTAAAGATGGGGAAAGTTATTTGGTGAATCCCAGGGGGAATTCCAAAAGGATCAAGTGTGCTGTTCAGTCACACTTGCTTCTCAGTTATGTTGTAGTAGTAAGGGCTGTTTTGGGGGAGTATAAAACCAGTAAAAAGGAGGCATGGTTTCATGCAAAACCAGGTTATTTTAAGAAATCCATACACCTCTTTGTGAAATTGGGTTTTTTTGGTTACTCTGATGAGAAAAAAAGGGGGAAGCAGTGAACAACTTTATTATTTGGAGAGATTATTGCTTTTCCCTATTGTTCACTAGTTCCTTGTTGCCAAGACTGCATTGCTGCACAGACAAGCAGTATGGCTTCCTGCACTTGTATAAACAGGGTGTCATGACAACAGCTGAATGAAAATTTAGATATAAATACCATGTCAGAGACAAGGCGTCTTCTAAGAGCTTTCTGTCTTTGGGAGCTCAATATTTTGAGTGCTTTTTTGTGTACAAATCATATGTTTATTTTTGTAGAGGGTGGAACAGTAGAACTGAGTAATGGTTTTGTATAAGCTTGAGACAACACAAAAAAGGCAAAAGAAATCAGGCTTGATGTTTCTGTTTCCTGTAAAGAGCAGAGCATCAGAGCAGCTGCACTTGAACTGCACTTTAAAAACTGTTTTATTTGAATAGCCAGAGCAAAGTAAAATATTTTACTGTAGGTTAGAACCTTGCTAAGCTTTTTGTAGTTAGACAATCAATGTAGAGCATAAGTGATAGTGCTAGTCCTCAAGGCAGACAACTTGCAAAAATGCTGATTGCAGCATTAATTTCTTCTCAGTCTCAGACACTGAATCTTATATTATATCCTCTGAATGCCTCTATTCCTTTAAAGAGAAGTCTCTTTGGTCCCCAAGGATTCCTTCTGCTTCACAACTCTTGTTAGGAGCGGTATGTTAAGGCACAGAAAATTCCTCACAGGAAAGACTCCTTGTGGACAGTTTATCTTCAAAGGGAAGGGCCTTCTTCCTGTCCTTTTTAGCTCTTCCAGCCAGAGTGCCCTTGTGCTATTAATTGTTCAATACATACTGTAAGTCCAGCATCCCAGGCTTGCAGAACTGTTTTAAATTGTGGACTCTGAGGTTATCGTGAAGTCAGGAATTAAAGGTATGTCTTAATAACAGTAAATACGATGGAATTTCCCCACAAACCCAAATAAAAGCCCTTATTCCAGTAAGTGACAAATATATCCAATACCCTATATATTCTTATTCAGGCTGGTTTTTTTTAACATTGCAGTATTACTCTGTAACTCAGCATTTCACTTGGCAGAGGCTTTGTTTCAAGGTGAAGATTTAGATATGAAAGTTTAAAAGTACGGGCACGAAGTAGATGACTACTCTATAAAGTGTTTTCTCTTTTGATCAAATGTGCAGAGTTTCTTATTTTTCTGTTGAATTCCCATGGAGATGAGATCTGGTGCCTGGGTTAATAATAAAGGTAATGGTGCATTTGGTGTCACGGGACAGCTGGTCAGGAGGAGTCCTTTTACTGATTTGTAGGCAGGGGAAAGGTTTAACATTTTGCTTCAGTTCTAAGTGTACATTTCTATGCAATTCTGTTAGGGGTGATTTGACTCTTAGCTCTTCCAGTACATCTGTTATTCTGCACACATTGTACCATAAAAATCTTCCAGAGACTAAATTAAATTTGGAAATTGGTGTAACTTTGGAAAGTGGTGTTACAACTTCCTTATGCTTACTTGGATGGCTTTGTTGTCCCTGCCTAAAAATAAAGACCACAAAGTCTTGCAATTTCTTTAAAAATAAAATGAAATCATACAAATAAAGAGACTGGAAGCCTTTCTTAGACTTACAATTATGCTAAATAGCTTTGTGTTTGAATTTGTCTGGGTAATACTTTTGCAATTGATGGACCAAATGACCAAAGTGAAAGGGCATTAGAACCTGATCCAACAAATAACTTAAGTATTTGCTTAACTTTCCTTTTACTTCAATGAGGACGTTAATGTACTTAAAGTTAAACATGTGCTTAAGTGATTTGAAGGATTAGTGCCTATCTTCATCAAGGTTTTTAATGTCTTCAGTATTGTACACATGAGCTTTGTGTGTAGTTATATGTAAGGATTCTCCACGTGTGTTTATGTAACAGAGGCCACAGCAGTGGGGATTCTTTACCTGATGCATTTGGTGAATTTACAATGAATTTACAATTTACAATGAATTTACAATTTATGTTTAAGGATCACTTAAAAAAACACTAAGTTTCTGTCTTACACATTATGTTACTATTAACCATTATAATAATTAATACTTGCAATATCTCTATGAAACACTGGTTATATAAATAATGTTTTATTTGTGTTCAGAATGTCTTTTAGTCTCTTTTTAGTACAGCTGTTCAGGATGAATTACAATGACATACAAAGTGTCCCCAGATTTCAGAGAATACTTCTGCAAAGTTAATTCACAGTTTCACTAAAATACTCACACTCCAGTTAGATGTGCCAGCATCCCACGTAGCTGCCAAGGAGTTAGGGATTTCTTTCAATATGAAAATAATCCCCAAATGTTTCCACAAACATTTGTGCCATGGGCAGTCTAATCCTGAGTGCAGAGGTTTGCCAACCAAGGTACCATTCCACTGTAAAAGAAAATGGGTTTTTATCTGTGGATCCTTCCTCACACTGACATAAAAAATCCCTCCAGCTGTGGAGTTCTGGCAGAGCTGGGGTTAAACTTGCCATTTCAGATTCTGATCTAACACCTCAGACACAGTGGCAGCATTAATTTAATTTTATTTTTGTACTTATTTTAGTGCTTTTTTTCCTGGTAATGTTTGCTTCCTTCTTGTGGCAAGAAGGAATGTGCCCAGTCATACTCTGCCCCGATTACAAGACTGAAGGAAGTTGGAAATGTGGGCTAGATGTTCCCATGTATTGTCACTTGCTGAAAACCCAAAATAGATTACTAATAATTTAGGCTGATGACTAATACTTGGCCATGGTCTGTTCTGTTATTTCTGCTTCATGTTTGAAGAAAATGTGACTGACTGGTTAAGAGACTGACTCATGATTTTGTACAAATGTCATTTAACCCAAATGTCCTTGTTCCTAATCCCTGTTAAGTAGACAGGTAACTCAGAAAGACAGCAGCATTAACGTAGCCTGGGTTTAAGTTATTAGCAAGGAGCAGAGTAGTAGCTGCCTGCTTGCTGTTTGATGTTGCTTCTGTGCCAAATGCTGGTAAACTTCATTGTTTCAGGGGCTCTGCAAAATTAAGTTGTACAGCTTCTAGTTACTGTAGCTTTAGCTGATTTGGCAGCTCAGCTGCCACTAGAAACTTAAGCATTCATTAGCATTTCATGAGCCTTTAGACAATATCCCTATCTGTCAGTTCAGTTCTTTCCCTGACAATAGTGTTAATGATTTAAAATATTCAGCAGTGTAACCAGACAATGTCAGCTAAAAGGCAAAATGCTGCATTTGCATTCCCGGTGTCTCGAAAAGCCATTTCAACAGACACCGAGCTTAAGGCAGAGAAGCATTTTAATCCTTCCTGTGGTGAGTTCTGAAAACTACCATAATAGCCCATGAAGAAAACAAGATCTGGAACTTCACAGAACAGCAAGAAATGTTACGTAGAGGATGGGAATGATCTAAACTTAATTTTAATTTCACGCAGCATCCTTATATGTAACTGTAATAGGAGAGCTCATAAAAGTGGTGCACGAAACACATCCAGTAGATTTTACTATTTATGGCATTCATTCCTATGCCTCCACCCCTTTTCAAAATTCAAACTTACTCTTATTTAGATCCCTGGGCAGTACGACTGGATAACTTTAAGCAGAATCATGAAGATTCTGATCCAGTACCAATTAAGTCATTAGTGCAGGAAAATCAGTTTTCTTCAGCTGTCATGCTTAAATATCATTTAGATATTTGTTTATTTGCAGTGTCACAGTTACTAAAACTGGATCTGTGTCTGGATACATATCAGACATTAATTTGAAATGCTTGTAGGTGTCAAATCTTCACATCTATAATAACCTAAAATATAGCCTGATAGATAGCTAAATAAATCTGATTATCATAGATGTACTTGGCTACCTAGGCCAAAATTGTAGGTGCAGCTGAAAGGACTTTTCTTTGCTCTTTACTGAAATCTGTTCAACTGCTTATCTAAATAGAAATATTGTGGCTGGATCTTAAATTGGTACAAATTACAATGATGATGAATTTTGAGAAAGCAAGAATGAAAATAAGATGGTTGTAGAAAAGTAAACTGACTCTGTACAAGTGCTTTTAGTGTTTAGTAGGTTTTTTTATTTTCAAATTTGCTACCTTTTTGTATGGCTCTTTCTTGTGATTACCATCAGAAATTAGAAGCTGTTGTGTACTTCCACAGATCTCCCCACATGGTGGATCTTCTTCCAACGTGAATGGTGTACCTGAATCACTCCCTTGCCAGAGTCCCGAAGGTAGGACACCAATAGTTGCTGCCAATCCTTGACAGAATTTTGCTGAGATGGCACTTGCATTTAACACTTTAGAGTGGTTTCTGATGACTCCAAATCATTTTCTGTTTGGAATTGTTTGTTACCTTGTTGATTCACCTTGGAAAAATATTTAGCACAATTTGTACATCAAAGTAGTTAATTTAGGAAATAAATTCTGTTTTTTTTTTTTTTTTTTTTTTTTTTGTCCAGTGGTAACATAAAACCTTGCTTTTCAATAGTCACTATTAGGAATTTGACTGATTTTGAGCATGACCTGCATTATCATCTGAAACGTTTTTGTGGCTGGACTGAAAGAGGAGCCCTCCTCAAAAGAGCTCATTGTGCTTCAGGTAGAACCACTGGCCAAACAACTGACCTTAGCCAAACTTAACCCTTCATGCCTCGTCTCTTCAAAGCAATGTCAGTTATTTTAAAGTATTTTTAAATTTTGTGTTGGAGTAATGTTTTTTATTTTAAAAATACTGACATAAGCATCTATCAGAATTATTTGCATTTTGGATGTTTTAGGAGCACCTATAAGCACTTGAAGGAATTCTGCAGATAAAACTTCTTGGGTTTTTTATATGCATTGTAGCTGAATCTTATTTGCATTTTTGCTTTGAGTTTGCAAAAAAAAAATAAGTCAAAAAAGTAATTTGAGGTCAGAAAGTTTTAGATGAAGAACTTCTAACTGTATTCATTACTTTTAGGATATGCCTGTACAAAAACATAGTGAGAGACTTATTTGTGTGTTCAAAGGTCAAATTACTTTGGGTTCATCTTGTTCTTCTTTACATTTGAGATAAAACTAAGGGGATTGCAGTGGAGAAAACAGCTTACTTTTAAGTTTTGTTTTGCATTTGTGACTGTTTTGTATCTGTGGAGCCCATTGGGGATATATTGCATCTTGCTGACACTTCCCTTCAGCTTGCATTTTTGACTTCTATTTTTTTTACAGGCTTGAATGGAAACAAGTTCTCAGGGTCATCTACCATTCTTGAGAAGTATAAAGTGGGGAAGGTGATTGGTGACGGCAATTTCGCTGTTGTAAAGGAGTGCGTGGAACGGTGAGCAAGGAAACTGTTCAGCCCTGCTGTTTGTTGTACTGGATAAAGCCCCATGGAGTAACTTAATTTCCTAAACAAATGTCATGAGATGAAAGCAAGGAACAGTTGCAAAAATATGCACGTACTTGAGGAGAAACAGGCATAGGAAAACATGCAGAGCTTCCCATGTTTTCTTCCAGCAAAGAGATACGAGAGCAGCGGAGAACCATGGCTTTTTATCCCACAAACTAAAGGAGGCATCACCTTCTCATGGTGCCTCCTTAGGAAACCCCACAGCTCTTCAAGAAATCTCTCGCACTACAGATGGTTGTGGATGACAGGAAATTATATGTGGCATCTAAACAGAGTTTGAGAGACCCCCCCCCCTTCTGCCTCAGCAATTCTGCTGTTGTGGTGTCCCCACTGCCTGCTGCTGACGTGATTTTTCACAGCTTTAAGCATTCTGTGGGTTGAGTACTCTTAAAGACGTGCAGTTGTTGGCTATCAGCCTGTGCTGGTGGCTCTCTTGGGCTTGCTGCTTGTGTTTCGTGGCGTGGAGGAGCCAGACACTTCAAATGAAGCCTCCAACATGCCTGAAATATCCTTGTGCCTGATTCCCTGTGGTGTAGGCAGGATACCTTTGCAGACCTGTGCAGCTCTGCTGTTCTTCCTCTGCAAGCTTGTGTCTCACACTTTGCTGCCAGTGCAAACATAACAGACGATTTGACTGTCACTTTCTCAGTGTACTTCTTTTTTAGAACCACCTTCTGCTATCTTTAGCAACCTGAGCGTTATGTCAGTTTCTTAAATATTATGAGGACTCTCCAACTTGTACGCAAATACGGGGAAAACTCAGCAAATGACTGTGAAAAGCATAAATGTTAGTGAAACTTTCTATTATTTGATCCTCATCTGCTGGTTTTAGCTAAATTTGAAAGAAAAATAATTCTGAATGGAAACATCTCATTCCAGAACTGAGGTTAGAATAACAGATCTGTAATTCCTTGGGTCTTCCATCACGCCCTTGGAAATTCAGTGTCAGCAAATGGAAGGTCACTGTGTGGTCCTCAGGCTCAGCAGACTGGGCAGCCCAACTTCTATCAGTGGCACTAAAGACTGAGGCAAACAAAAAAAGCCTTCCATGCCTTTGCTTTATCTTCATGTCTGTTAGTCAGACGACAGTCTTTGGCAAGCACCAGTGTTTTCTTTCAAGCTCCCTTTGCTATTGACACACTTAAGAAACTCTTGTTGTCTGACTCAACAACACTGCCCAGTTTCAGCTCTAATGGGGCTTTGGCCTTTCCCCTCCCCTCCCTGCATGCACCAACCACAGCTCTGTAATCTTGCTGTGAAAGCCCCACCTTGCTTCCTAAGATCCTCTTGAGCACCACAAGTTGTTCTCTGCTCAGCCAAGCTGCTTCTCTGCCACTTAATGTCTGGGAAAATTGAAATCTCCCACAAGGGCAAGGGCTACCAATCCAGTAATTTCTCATTGCTGCTCACAGAGTAACTCATCAGTGCTTACATCCCAGCCAGGTGATCCCAGACACTCCCTACACCATCTCCTTTGTTTTCCACTGCCCTTATCCTCACCCAGAGGCTTTCCTGAAAGATAGCAGGTTAAAAGCACAAGATAATGTATTTATTATCAGAAATATAAGCTGTGCATTTTGGAAATCACTTAAATCCCACTGGAAATGGGACAAGGGCTGATAATTCACTGAATGTCTTCTGTGCTTTTTGTAATGAGGAAACTGGACCAGAAAAACAGCCCTCCAATTACAAAAAAATTTAAAAGGCACAATTACACTTCACTATCTAGTTTTGTATGTGTTCAAAACTTTAGTGCAACATTATTAAATAAATTTTATGTAAAATAAGTATACAAAAACAGTTGCTAATAATGATGGAGGAAATGCCAACCATAAATGCTTCTCTTTTAATTCCTATTAATTATACTTAATTTCTAATAGTGTTGTGCTAAGAAGCCTAAGCTGTGGAGCCAGGATCCTATTACACAGCTACCAGCTGGGATGTTCTACAAAAAGGAGGAGAAAAGATTAAGGTGGTCTCTTTTGTGCCTGTGTGTCTGTATATAAAGACATGAGTCAACAGATGGGCACTGACAGCTCGAGAAGAATCCCAGAAACCTGTCAGACAATGCTGGTGTGCGATGTGCGGTGATATTAGCACACAGATTCCGGGGGTTGTATCCGCCTTTTTTCCTTGGATGCTGCGGTAGAGGTCATTTGTAAGAGGGATTTGAAGTTGCTGGATGAATTGGCTTTGTGAATGTTAACTCCTCTTGCTCACAGCACGAGTGCTGAAGGTTTGTTAAGTGGATGTTGCTGATCAGTTGTTGACGTACAGCGGTGTAAAGTACAAATGGTGATTCTGATTCCCACGCTGCTGTACTCGTAGCAGATCTTACATCGGGTCTGTAGCATGAGAGGCTGGCATTTCACTGATACCATTTAGATAAGGGCTTCTATCTAAAGACCAGATCGGGTTGTAACTATGACAACCTCGCAGATGCAGCAGCGCTTCCAGGGCAGGGATTCTCGCCTGCAGTTTTTTGATAATGCATAAATGGAATATTGCATGTTAATTCAGTTCCTTTTTCTGCAAGGTGCTGATTTTGACCAGTTGTATCTAATGCCAAAAGCACGGTGAAAGTCACCCTGGAAGTCTGAAAACATGCCTGATTTGGCTTTTGTATCTCCCTCCTGTTTTCGAGCGGTGTTCTGATGCACACTGGAGTCTGTTGGCACTGGCACAGTACAAAATAGCAGCAACTTGGTCTTATGGCAATTTCATATGGTTTGTAATTTATAAATAATATAAGTCATCATTTCTTCTTTGTTTAAAAAAAATATTGTGTTGCTTTTTATTCCGCTCATTTTTCCCTCTTCCAGAGAAATGGAGATTTTTATTGCTTAAAGGGATGAAAGACAAACAAGAACTCCTTTCTGCGAGGAGTATTTGCTGAAAACAGTAATCCTTTTTTACTTTGTATATGACCCACCCTGTTAAATGTCATGGGACTTTAGATGACAGCTGTAGAATTCCACAAAGTACTTTTTTTTAAAAAAAAATGTAATACAAAAGCTCAAAATCAGTGCCTGACAAATTCTACAGGATTTTAGACTATCTGCAATGGACTATGGGATTTTAGCTCTGTTGAATCCTACTGAATTTTTTTACTAGGGTATCTTCACACACACACACATATGATTTAATCTTCAAAGCCCACCAGTTGAGCAAAGCTAAGCAGAAGGCTGAAGGCAAATTTTGCATTTTTCCTTAAAGGAGTGACAGTGTTGTGCCAGGTCACAAAGAAGAAATTGCAGCTGGATCCTGGGATTAATACACCATGGGAGCTGGGTTGTGGTAGTCAGGGAAACAGCAGGCACAAATGCTGCTGAGGAAACAAAAACCAAACCCAGGTCTGCTCTCTGAATTTTCTGTCAGCAACCTACATGGGCCACAGCATGTTGTTATGATGGTGTATTTACAGAAAATGCCACAGTTTTTGTAATTAATGGCTCTTGTGTTTTTCTTGCTTAGATCCACAGGAAGGGAGTTTGCCCTGAAGATCATAGACAAGGGCAAGTGCTGTGGGAAGGTAGTGTACAACCATTTGCATGTGTACAGAAGCAGCACTAGCAGCTGCTCATTAGTCATAAATGGTGGGTGTGTTTGGGTTTTCTGACTGTTTTCAGAGTGTCTCTTTAACAAGATGATAATGTATCCAAGAAGCAAATAATAAAAGCAGTGTGTGTTAGTCTACTAAATAATAGAGAAAAATTAATTATTGCTGATTTTGTTGGGCTGCCAAAAAAAAAAAAAAGCTAATATGCACTCAAAATTTATTGGACAATTTTGATGTGTAAAATGTGGGAGAGGAAATTTGCAGCTATATGTTTATTTATGTTCCCATCCCACTCTGCCTTTTATTTTTCTCTCTGTATGGCTCAACATGCTCCTTTTATAGGCAGAACATGGATTTGAAAAGAAATTTTCACAACCATTTCTTTCTGTTTATGTAGTGTCACCTTCCTGTATTTACACAGTTCTTTTGTGTTATGAAAACTTAATTCAAACTTTAAACAGAAAAATCTAAAATTGTCTCTTCAGGAGAATGGCATCTCATATAATCCAAGCAAATATCTGAGAGTGTCAGACCTTCTATTTCCCTTCATACTTCTTGAGTATGGATATTTTTAAAAAGAAAAAAAAATCTGCCTCCCCTCTTTGCGTGGTAAAGAGCTGTATGATGGCTTCCCATTAGGAGAGGTTCTCAAACAGAAACATTTTGTCTGTGCAGATTTTAAACCATGTGCTAGGTGCTAGGAGATGAGGGTTTCATTTTGCCTCATATTCTCTGGATTTATTTAGAAAACTTAGAAAGGAATCATAAAAATGTGCAGCCACAAGAAAAAGTGCTAGGATTGCATTTCTGAGATTAAAATGTTGCAATTTATTCAGCTGTGGAAAGGGTGACTCTGCATTCCACTGTAAACAAAATTTTTGGATGATGTGTACAGCTTGCAACTTTAGGTGGTTTTTATTACTTGTCTGAGTCAGCTGCTTATGTATCATAAATTGGAATGGTCTGGAGATAGATAATCTATTTTACACAGTAGAGTTTAGAGGAGTTTTCTATTTATCATTCTCCTTGCTTTAAAACATATATTAAAAAAAAAAAAATCAACCCCATGCCCATTGCTCATTTTTGAAGGACCTGTATCTTTATAGCTAGAGATTGTTGGAAGATGTTTACAGCTCTTAGGGTAGTGGCAGAATCATCCTGGAAGAATTTCAACAAAGGAAATAATTAAATTTTGGTACAGCTTATTCCTTCCTCACTTAGTTCCACAGTCCTGCCTTAAAAACACTCATCCAGCCCAAATTGGGATGATTTAAGTGTTGCTCATTGCTCCTTGATCTTGGATGTTCAAAAATTTGAATCTAATTGACTCTTTTCCACAAGTGGCTTAAATGCTCATTATAACAATAACATCTCTGTAAATAAATCATATTAATGTAGAGTGAAACATACATTGCACTATCCAGGACAACACCATAATGAGTTTTGGAATTATTATTTTTTTTACAGAGCAAAACATAGCAAGTCAGCAGGGTGGTTGAAAATAACTAGCTACATATTAGCATTTTTTGAGAGCAGATTTTTAAACAGTAGCTCAACAACATTCTGGAGCCTTTAAAAAAAATTACTGTTTATTTTAAGTATTAATTATGCCTGAGCAGTTTAGTCACAGATAAAACCACTGTGCCTTAGATGTAATTAATGGGTGTAATAAATTTGATATGTTCCCTGTTCTTTAGGTTGAGAAAGCTGTAACAATATTCTAGTTTGTGCTTGGACTCTTAATGTTAGTTTTGAATTTCCAGGCTTCCATCCCTAAGGCTCAGTATGCTGTGGCTGTTCACGTCTGTCTGGTGATGAGATTCAGCATTGTGTTTAACAGAATTGCTTCCTGTTTGTCTGTTTTGTTTTCTCTCCAGAGCACTTTGCTTGGAGCAGGCATATGTTTGTTCAGAGTGACAATTGCTGCTCTTTCAAAGTGAATTTCAAAGGTGTGACGTTTAACCCTCGTGTGCCGCACCGTTCTCTCACCAAACGAGACGCACACGTGGCATGTGGTTTCTGAGCTATGTAGGCACAGAAGGCTTTGGCTAAAGCACAGTGCATCCATAAATAACCCCAGAAAAAGAAGGTGAAGTGCTGTGAGATGTCCAGTCACTGCCTGTGCACAGTGGGTCACATCTCCTCCTAGTGCTTTGCTCACAAATGCATGAAGTGCATGCTCCTTATCGCTGCATTCAACATGGATAAGTTCCCAGTCCAGTGACGTGATTTGTTCCCTGCCAGGGTGGAAGGAGACTTGTCTGATGCAAGCTTTGTTTCTTACTTTGCAGATAACCTAAATACAATATCCATATTCCAGCATTTATATAGGAAAATTAAAATAATTCTTCACATGGAAGGGACACGCAATTTTTTTTTTGCTCTCCAGTGTTAGAATGTTCTAGAAAACAAAGCATTTGAAACTAATTTGTTCTCGAAATCCATTAGTTCCTCAGAAGCACAGGGAAGGGGAGATTGAACTCAGTCTGTGTGCTGTTAAGCTGTTGGACTCACAGCAATTTAACTGAGCTATTAAACATTGTGCAGATTGTAAGTCTGAACAGACATATAAAATGAACCAAAATCCATAACCAAAACACTCAGAATATATTTTTCTTTAATATATTCCATGACTTTTTTTAAAAATAAAGTCATTAGATATAAATCCTAGGTAATCTGTCCTTGAGTAACCTACACTAAATGAGAGGTGAAGGATGGAGAGGATCAAAAACATGTTAGCTATTGATGAGGGGTGACAGGTTCTAATGATCCATCTTGGGGGCAGAAAGGTTCTGAACTTAATTTCACCTCATAATACCCACATAAGAATATAACCTGCACTTCCTGAGTTGCTGTCATGTTCTGGGGTCTTTTTTGGAGATGCTCCATTTGTTATGTGTGTGAAATATATCTTAAATTAAATGTGGTCCGTGGTGAAATACAAGAGCCAGCAACTGAAAATAATCTTCTTCTATATAAATTAATCAGCAAAAAGAGTGCTCCCTGATCAAGTGATTGGCTGATCAAAGGAAAAGTGAATTGGCAAATTCATGTTTCAGAGAAACTTCCATCCTCTCCTGAACAGGAGCACCTGATTGAAAACGAAGTGTCTATTCTGCGCCGAGTGAAGCACCCAAACATCATCATGCTCATAGAGGAGATGGACACCCCCACAGAGCTCTACCTGGTGATGGAGCTGGTCAAGGTAAGGCTCAGGGGGCTTCATTTGTCTTGTTTGAATTCTCTGTGTTGGTGTGAAATTTGAGCACTATCCAGGAATGTTAAGATCTTGGGAGATATAATCAAATAAGGTTTCAGTGGCAACCTTCATTTTTTAATCATGAAAGTACACCTGTCAAGCAATTATATTAATGGGATTTCTCTCCAGTTTTAATTTGACTATTAACACAGATTTGAGGTAATTTTGCAGTGTGCACAGTCTAGAGGGAAGTGGATAGTGAGTTTTATGTCATGCCTACAATGTGCAGGGGTGATAGTGATATGCATATGAACACTTGAATTTATTTCACTGTTCTCATTGTTTAATGATTTGATTTAAAGAAATGAATTCTCTCTAATGAATTTATCTTAATAGGCAAGACAAATAGATTAAACTCAAGTGATTTTCATCCTGGAAAACCAAAACTCAGAAGATCTCACCCATTTTGGTAATATCAAACAGTTCACCAGAGAATGGATGCTGCTTTCATACATGTACAGAGAAAACACAAATATTAATTTTGCTGTCACCTTGTGAGCCAAATAAATGGGTAGCATCAGGTTCTAGTTGTGCATTCTCTTGTCTGGGTTCTGTACATGCATAGCAACACTGCACATCAGCTTGATTAGCATGTCAGCTACAAATAACATACAGCAAAAGCAGCACTGCTCATTTTTGGAGCAGCACTTCTTATTTCTGACTCAAGCACTGTTACATTCAGGAGTCCCCTCTAGAATGGTTGCCAGACTGGGAAGCCTCTAAAGAAAGCATGTAGTTGTTGAATACAAAATTTCTGTAGCCCACTTATCCTTCTTCCTTTCTGGAAGTTATTTTTATACCATATAGGCTTTTTAGGGTTTCAAGACTTTATTTTTTTATGTTTTAATTCACCACCATCTTGGCCTGTATTTCCTGAATTGCTGCTTCTCTTTGGTGTGCATTGAAATTCTTGGAATGCCACCCACAGCTCAGACAGATCACTCCTACACATGTATCCAGGGAAACCATCATGGAGACACCCACATGAAATTTGTTGCAATGACTGAAAATGCCGCATCAGTAACTCACTCAGACATTGCTGTGTATTCCCAGAGGAACAGGGCATCCATAAACAGAGCTTGACACATTCAGAAATCACCTGGAGGTTCTGCACTTTGATGTATCTCAATCACTGTATTCATTTATGTTGGAATGTGTTTATCTTTTTTGTCTCCTTCAGCTATATTTATTCGGTATTTCTTGCAATATCTGCAGAAATTTGAATTTGCTGAATATTTGTTAGTTATGAGGGGGTTCTTTTATTTTTGGGCTAATTTATTTTAGGCTTTATTCAAAATCAGGGCTGTTTTTCAATATGCTGAAGGTATTATACTGATAAGATGAAGAAAAGTGATGCTGTATGCCTGTCCCTGTAGGTAATATAAATGAGTGATCAAAGGTAGGAAGAGCAGTAGGAAAAAATCTGTGATTTGTCCAAGCTCAGACACAAGAAGCCTGGAATACAGTTATGAATTTAATGCAGATGACCAAAGACCCAGTCTGGTATCTTGGTGACAAGATCATCTTTCTGCAAAATAATTTTATTTTTTTTTTTCTGTTTAACTGTAATTTGAGCATGTCTTTTGTGAAGGAAGATTATACGTGTTTGTTTAGGGTTTGTTTTTTCTTTTAACAACCTTAATTATTTTTTAAAGAGTGATTTTTTTTCCTTTCCATTACATAGGGAGGAGACTTATTTGATGCCATCACTTCATCTACAAAATACACAGAGAGAGATGGGAGTGCCATGGTCTACAATTTAGCCAGTGCTCTCAAATACCTGCATGGTCTCAACATTGTGCACAGAGACATCAAACCAGAAAATCTTCTGGTATGTCCCATCTATTTTCCAGTATTTTCTCTTATTTTGTTCTCATTAATGCAAATGCTTGTGTATAAGGAGCACAGCAGAGAATAGCAGGCATATTAATTTAGAATAAGTATGTATAAAGTAAATCTTCTGCTGTGAGATAACAATCACCGTAACGCAGGAGAGCTGTGCTCAAACCTGTCCTTAGACCTATCTTTATTTACATTTTGATTGGCTGCCTTTTGGATAAGCAGGTGTAGTGTCTCACAAAACAATTAATTTTAAAGTTATGTCAATGAATTATTTATCAGGTTGCAAGTGGGATAAAGGTGGGCTGAGAGCCATTTCTTCCATTTCTTTGAACAATCCTATGGTTACCATCTGAAGCCAGTGGTTTTTTCCTTTCACTGTAACTGTAGGATCATCTTTCTGATGGTTTACCAGTATTCTGGCTGGGAATTAACCCTTTACATAGGTTTATTCTTTTCCTAGGCAACTGGCTACTTTTGTTTTCAGCAGAGACATAAAACAGCTGTGTTGACAAGAATTACCATGAAGTCTGCTTTGGGAACTATTTATGCCCTGCTCCACAGAGGGCATCATTCCCATTCTGTCCACAGAATGGGATCAGTGTGTGCTGGCTGTCCTGCTTATATGCAGAGGGTACACTTGTGCATTACATGTTGGATATTCAGTGTCATGCACTGAACAAACAGGGCCATAATCTCCCCTGCTTGAGGCTTTTCTTAAAATCTTCTGTGGTGTTTGTCAGTCCTGTGCAGTGAGTTTGCATTGAGAGTAGGAGTCAGTTTATCCCAGACTGGATTTTGAGCTATTACAAGGACAGGGCTAGAAGCTAAAAATATTTCCTAATTAATAGTCAATTCTTGCCCCAGTAATTCCACTGACAGTGTTTAGCAATTTAAATAAACCCTCAAATAAATTAGATTGTTTAGCAAAAAGCAGTAGGGTGGGGGGCGAGGGGGGGAGGCTTCTCCTGGAAAATGTTGTCGCAGCAACATGGCACTTGAGAGAGAAAATGAAGGTGGAAGTCTCACATACTATTATTGCATCTCCAAACACAGACAGTCTAAAGAAATTTTAAGCTCTCATTAGTGATTGAATCAGTTATAAATAGGCACAAATGCCCTTTCTGCCTAGAAAGCCTAAAGAGATTACTCAACAGATGCAAATCTTACTGTGATTGACAGCAGCAGAATGTTGAGATAACATCCTGGTATTGAATGTAAATGCAAATAATTCCCATCAACTGCTACCTGTAATTGCACATAGTTAGGTTTTTTGCACGGGGTCATCCAGGCTGTCTGGATGAGAATTACATTCCCTTTGCTAGTCATGCATTTAAAAAATGCAAACCCTGGGAGTAATAGCTGATATGAAGGTGGTGTATAAAGGAGAACAAGTGTTTCCATTACTGATATGAATTACACAGGGGAATGAAGAAAGGTATTGGAGTGCTCAGTTGTTTGATGAAGGCAAATAAATTCAGCCATTCTGGAGATTATGGGGTCCCCCATTCTAGATCCCTTTGAAATCATGTTAATATGAACATTTCACTTTAAGAGAAAAACGGAGATGAATTTATTAGGGGGATGTTTCCTTTCTGTTGGTCTGGTTTATCCCTGCCAGCAGTTATCACTGTTGCATAGCACTTTTCTATCAAAATTCAGCTCCTTTCATCAATGAAATGACTCTGTGCTAGATTGTTTACGGGCCTTTTGGTAAGGTGCAGTTGGGTCTGCACAGAAACCCAAACTGCACTTGCCTAGACCAAGCACAGGGAAGACATTTGCTGATGAAATTGCCCAGTATGCTGACTAGATTGATGCTAATTTAACAAGATGTTAAACAAATCTGATTGTAGCTGCCAGTCCCATTTTAAACTCTAGGTCCCAGTCAAATGAAAGTAGAGTATTATATTTTACTGAATATATTTAAAACTTCTCAATATTCAAGAACTGGGTTTTCTTTTCCACCTCTAGTTGCTTGAGGCTCTGTCATGGTCTGACCTACATAGCTGGTAGACAGCTCCATTGAACACTTGCTCCAGCTGCAATCAATGGGAATATAATTTTTTCTCTTTCCCTACAGGGCTGTGGAAATTACCTCTTTCTCCCATCTTCTTGGTGTGGTAATGATGATTTCCCATATAAATTAGAGGATATAAAAATGCAGATGTTCTTTTCCTCATTCTGTGTTAATTTTTCTGATTCTAGGTGTGTGAATATTCGGATGGAACCAAGTCTTTGAAGCTTGGAGACTTTGGACTGGCGACGGTGGTCGAAGGCCCTTTGTACACTGTCTGTGGGACACCCACCTATGTGGCTCCAGAAATCATTGCAGAGACAGGGTGAGCATGACTGCCTACAACACAGACTTGGAAACAACTATTTTTGGCAGGTTGTAAGATCTAAATGCTCCAACAGGTTGGCCCTCCATTGTTTTGTGAACAAACCACTCATGGGCACCATTTCCAGTTCCTCCAAGAGGCCAATATCCTTGCTTTGCCTGCTCCTAGAATTCACTTTTGCCTCCTCCCCCACCTCCCCAGGACCAGCTCTGGTGCAGTGGAGTACATTTGTTTGTACTCCCTGCCTCACTTGAGCATCCAGAACCCATTGTACCGCCTGTGACATCTGCCTGGGGAAGAACAGACAGGCAAAACACAGTGTTTGCATTAGAAATGGAATCATTTATGTTGGTAGAGGCTCCAGAGGTCACCTAGTCTAAACCTGTTCTCAGGACAGTTGTAATTAGATCATGTTGTTTCAAGTGACCCTTTTGGGTGACACATCCTGTTTGATAACAGTTGAGCAACCCCAACTCTGTATTTAACAGGTCATTGCATAAATACAGAAAAAAATTTGTGAAATGGGGAATTTTCACCCAATGGCAGATTTTCACAAGTCCTCTCTCCTTTTAGACCTATGAGAACTCTATTCCATGCTCTGGCTGACTCTTGCCATAGCTGTGACCACTGAATTTCCTGATGGAGGGAGGTTTTGTTGTGTTGTTTCACTGCTTGTTCAGTGCATTTTGTTGCATTGAGAAACATTTCACAGCTGCAGTGAGCTCCTGTGTCAGAGGGCACCTCATCTGCATGGTAGAGGTTTTGACAAACTGAATCCACTGAATAGGGGAAAAGGCCTCTTTTTGACCTCCAGTGTTTTAATTCTTGTGCTTTAAAAGAAAAATGAAGCTCCTCTTCTCTGTGTTACTCACTGGAGAGGCTGGAGAATTGGTGTGTCTTGTTGCTTAGCAACACATGATAACCTTAGAGAGAGTTATTTCACTGTAGGGACTGAGAAGGCACATCCTTGTCTTTAATCATTAGTGGCTCTGGATTGGGAAGCCTGGATACTGACTTGGGTTTGAGTATATTCAGAAGACCTTGGAGAGCCTTGAGGCTTATGGTAAAGAAAAAAAAAAAAGAAAACCATAGAATTGTGGTTTCTTAAAGACTATAAAGGTGTGAAGAAAGATGCTCAGGTACAAAAGACATCACCACATCACCAACAAGTAACTTAGCACAGATTCTCGAACAGTTCTGTCAGTGTCATTTACTTTTGATTGGAATGACTTTTTTTTGTTGTTGATTCAACACAAGTAACACAGCCTTGTTTTCTCAGGTATGGCTTAAAGGTGGATATTTGGGCTGCAGGTGTGATCACGTACATCCTGTTGTGTGGATTCCCACCTTTTCGCAGGTGAGTGTCAAAGGGAAAACAGCAAAACGAATCAAGTTCTTTCAGAGCACGTCTGACCTTGCTCCCTGAAGGAGGCATCCTGAGGGTGAGGAATAAAGGTGGATTAGATTGATGTGTTTTCCCTACGTTTTTAAGTGGTTTTCATTTGTTCCCCATTTTAGGTTTTGGGATCACTTTTATTCATTTGTTTTCCTACGGGGGCAGGTGTTTTAGTGCTGTGTGGGGGCTGTGAGGGCAGAGCCGCTTCTCCTTTTGTCTCCATGCGGATCCCAGCTCCGCCATCCACGGACACGCGCTGCCCTCTGCCGCTGGCGCTGGGGCGCGGCAGCTCCCGGAGAGCGGCACTGGGAAACCAGGAGAGGGGAAAAATGTGCTTATCCTGCCTTTTCAACCTTCTTCGTCCTCTTGGGAAGTGTCAAGCTGAGCGATGAGGTTTGCAGACATCATCTCAGAGTCAGGCTACGTATGGGTTCTACTGAAAGTCAAATGGTTTTGTTTTTCTTTTTTGCCAGAGAATGAGAAGGAATTAGCACACTGTAATAGGGAATTCTCCTCCTAACATATAAGTTACTGTTACTACAGGGCCTTTATGTTCATTTTTGCAGCAAAATCCTTAACAAAATACTTAGGTTTTAACTAAATCACCACACTGAACGAAAATATTTTGCAAACAATACAGTTATTGTTGATGGGAAAATACTAGTTCAGGTGTTTGGGTTTTTCATATTGTTTGTTCATGTTTAAAGCTGAAAATGTGTTTTGAAAGATACATTGTGCATGCAAATGTATTCTTTGGTTAGAGTTTTGGGGTAGGGCACAGGGAATATCCATATCATGCTAGTAAGATGGTCATGAGTGAGATTAATAAATGTGTGTTAATAATGCAGTCCCAAATCCAGTGGAAGAGTTACCTCAATGTATTGGCTCAGAAGAGCTATCACTGGATAAACTTGCAAATTATGCATGTCTAGTAGTTATTAACATAATTTCTGTTCCATCCCCAAATCAACTTAAAGTTCCCCATGACAAAATGGCTTTTTATCTCATAACATTTTTTTGTCACTGCTGTTTTACAGTGAAAACAACCTTCAGGAAGACCTCTTTGATCAGATACTTGTGGGGAAGCTGGAATTTCCCTCTCCCTACTGGGATAACATCACTGATTCAGCAAAGGTACTGATATTTTTTCCCACCTGAAAACAGCATTTCTGATAAGCAGAAATGTGCAGCCTGTGCTCAGTTGGGAAGGCAGCCTGAAGGATCCAGAGCAGCCTCTTCCCCGGTGTCCCCAGCTGCTGTGCCTTTTTAGTTGGCACTTAATAGTGCCTAAGGAAAGCTCAGGTGTTCTGCCTGAGCAAGGGCAGCAGAATGCCAGCTGCATTCAGGGAACATCACATGATACCCAGTTCCCTTCATGATGCACTTAACAGCAGGTTCAGTGCTTCAGCTGTAAAATAAAGGTGTCTCTGAATTTTTCCCTCCTATCACTCTTTAAAAAAGAAAAATTATTGCTTTGTTTGCAATTCACAAACATTGGATTGGAGGCAGTTGGCATTTCTTCCTGCTTTTCTTGTGGCATTTATTAGAGCTTTTCAAGATGTGTGGCCATTGCTAATTGTCACTGCCAGCAGTTCTTCTGTGATCATTGCAGTTTTGTTTAAAATCATTGTTTCTGTAGGACAAAGATCCAAATTGTAAGCTCCACTTCTCAGATTAAGTCACTAAAGTGCTCTGAACAGTATCTGAGGATATGCTAGCAAGTGGATCCACTTGGCTATCCAGCCAATGAGAAGTTGAACGTTTTTTCTGCATTTTTCTGCATTTGCCCATGGGTGTTTATCCATTTACCATTTCCCTAGTCCCAGTCATCTCACACATTTCCAGACATGCATTCTGAACAAACAAGGTCCTCAATCTTGGTATTCAAAGTGATGTCTCATTCAGACTTCCAAAGACTAAATAACTTGGCTGGCTGGGAAAGCTCTCAGTTAGGTGTTTTGTTATCATCTGCTTGAAGAAACCATTTCCCAAAACTGAAGCAAGGGACAGTCCCCTTGAAATAATCTTGATAGGTATGAAGATTGATAATTTGGAGGCTATAAAAGGTTTTTTGAGGTGGGGGACTTGCTCAATATCTTTTATTCTTCTGCAGCAACACAGAAGGAGAAGTGTTTTCAAATAATTTCATCAGTTTCTTGACTTTCAGATGCAGATTCTTGTCTCTGATTTGTGTTTTTTATGTAATGTTACTGACTGCATGTGCACTGCCCAGAGAGGCTCTCATCTCTCCCACATTTGTTTTTTTTTCTGGTATGTGCATGAATATATAGAGAACAAAGTAGAATATTAGAGGTGATTTTTTAACATTTCTTTTTCATTTGTTTTCAACAGACTCAGTGAAACATAAGTACAGTGAGTAAGTTGATATCAAACACACTGCCTGGCAGACCCTTAATCCTAAAGGGCAAATTTAAGTTCCACTTAAGTCACACTGGTATCACTGTGTCTGGTATCAGCTGGGATTGTTTTTTTCTCATCCAGATATCAAGGAGATTCCACTGAGAAGAAATGGGTGCAACAGTATTTTCAGTTTTAATATCCTTTCCCACTCTCTTCAAACCCCTCTTTTTTTTTTCCTTTTTCAATGAAGGAGCTAATCAGCCTGATGCTACATGTGAATGCTGAAGCCCGGTACACAGCAGCACAGATCCTAAGCCATCCCTGGGTGTCAGTGAGTAAATCACATTTCACTTGTGTCTAACTTGACATTAAACCTGTAAATCTAACCATTAACATGTAGTGTTCAGAAGCATCAGTACAATTAGCAAATATAACACCTGATTTACTATAGACACTAAGCTGATGCCTTCCAGGTCCTTCATCTTCTCAGGCAGCCGGAAAGGGAACACCAAAGTGTGTTCCTTATTGATTTAAAATCAATTAATTATTAAAAAGTACTGGGTTTACATGGACACAGTCAATGCTTATTTTCAGACATGGTCTAAAATAAGGACTGAATATGATATGTGGAGTTCCCTGACACAAGAGAAGACAACTATTAACAAGTGTATCAATGGATAACAGCTTCTCTCATATTTATGATACTTTATAGCACCTCCAGACTTAGGACAGCGGTGGGTCATTTAAAGGGGTGATTTGAAAGAAATACAAGTGAGAAATATGCTTTTCATTTTTAAGATTATTTCAAGCATGCCTTCTTTTAACTTGCTTGAATCAAACCTCCAGCTTGTAATTGTGGGACAAATCATCGCACTGGAAGTGTCACATGTCATTTTAAGAAATAGACATTCATTCACAAAACAGTGAGTGATTGCTCTGTTCCTTTCCTCTGGCATTGTCTCTCATGTAGCAGAGTGTGTTCACCTTTGGACTGCCTGTCTGAATATTTACTATGCACTAAAAAGAAGAAAGTACCTGATGATAAAAAACTTTTTCATTTTTTCCTAACTTGAATATTGTGTTCCTTCTTACACAGGATGATGCTTCCCAGGAGAATAATATGCAAGCTGAAGTAACAGGTAAACTGAAGCAGCACTTTAATAACACCCTACCCAAGCAAAATAACACATCTGCTGGGGTTTCTGTCATCATGGTAAGAAAAATGAACATTTTTATACATTGATAGTATACTCTGCATATTTTCCTAACAGTGATCTATGAGCATGTGTGGTGCAAGAATAGCAAACCCAAAATTAGAACAGTCTCTAATTCTAGTCTTTATTGATGTATAATGTGGATTGTCTCATCATTGCTTGGGTGCTACCCAAGAGATAAAAAGGAGCTTTCAAGCAGAAACATGTGAACACTAAGTAGGTATATGTTAAGATGAAGTTTATTAACAATTTGAAATATTTCATTATAAAAACCGTGGTGTTTTTTCATCATACTGCCCACCTAGTTAAGTAGGGTCTTCCTCTATGCCTGACCAAGTATTACTTCATCTTGAGCATAGTGTTGTTCAACTCTACCTGTGCCAGGAAATGAGGCTCCATTCCAGAAACTTCCTTTCTTTCTGATCTTAGTGGGGCCCTTCCTTGTCTGATGCAAGGATGGACACTGCACACAAAATGTATCTTCAGTAAGTTAAAGTAAAACCATCCATGGTAACATTACAGGGACTTCCACCCTCACCCTCCCATTAGTATTAATTACTCTCAAAGTCCAGCCCACATATATTAACACAGAATTTAAATTTAAATTCTGAGAGCCAGTAAATTTAAATAAAATGTTCTTGCAAATAAATTTGTGTGAGTTAAATAAGCAAACAAGTTAAATGTAGCAAAAGTGATAACATAAAAATGAGTCAGGAAATAGATTTCAGGTTCATGCTCTTGTCTACATTTCATTTGACAGTTTGACTTGACAGTTTGAGAGGGACTTCAGAGCTTCATTCTTTATACTGTTGAGACTATGGATAAGCCTGAAGCTGAAAACTGGTATAAAATGCACTATATGTAATAAGAGCAATTTTAATTCTAACTCTTGGCCCCTCTCCAACTTGCATGCCACTTCAGCCTGTCTCAGATCTCTGACACAGCGTAGCTTCTGGCTTCTTATTGGTGTGGGTTTTTTCTATTAGCTACTGACACTCCTTCAGCCAGGAAAGTTCACCTCATTTTACCTTTTCCTGCTTTATTTCCTTCTAACAGGTATGGAAGGATGTAAATGCATAATTATTAATTGCTGAATGCAGCTCCCAGTTAATGCTGAAAGGAAAAGTAAAACCTTGTTCAAAACACTGTGATCTAATGAGGGTTAAGCCCCCAATTTGTTATTCTTGCCCTGGTTCACCTCGAGCTTTACCTTTGTGTTCAGAAATTCTTCACTTGCTCCAGCACTCATTGCTTATCAACATTCAGCTTCAGACAAGCACACTGTGTAACTCTCGTGTATTGCAGTGCATTGCTCTCTCTCAGTCCACCAGCACATTCACTGGAGCCCCTTTAGCACCACCTCATTCCAACACTGTCACCTGGCCCATGCAGATAATACCATCCTGTGGCAGATAAGTAAAACTGCACATCCCGAGTTCAGTGTCCTTGCACAGGAGGCTCCTGCTGCCCCCAAAAGCATGTTGCTCTTAATTCAGTACTGATTTTTTTTTTTTTTTGTCAATTAAAAAATGTTCTGTAAATCTAAATTTGTTGCAATTGTCTTAGTTCTGCTTAAAGTAAGTCTAGTTTCTGTCCCTTGCTTCCTTCCTTTTTTCCTCCTTTCCCAATGCCTGCATTGCTTTCCTCTGAGTAGGTCCAAGGCAATGGTACGTACTAACGGCGATGCTTTGTTCTGCTGCACAAAAAGTACATGGTCTCCATTCGTAACAAGAAAGGAGAAATAACTAAGCCAGTCTGAAGTGGAAAAAGTTGTACAGCCACACCAAACCAGCAAAGGCGTACCTTTTAAACACTTAGGAAAAAAGCATTCTGGCTTGAGTGATGCATATCTGAAACAGGCTGAGCAAACGCCAATAAAACCATTTTTTTCTTCCTCAGACACATCTTGATCTATTCTCCTTGGAGTCATTTTGTGCACATCTATAGCTCACTGTATCTAAAAACAGCTAAAAAAAGATGAGAACCCTTTGAAGAGAGAAGGAAAGAACTAAACTACTGAACTGAACATTGTTTCTATTTAAAATAAACATTTCAGTTGATACTACCTTTAGAGCTAGACAGAAGATAATCATGTTATACAATAAAGATGTTGCTAATTTCTTAGCAACAGTAAAATTAGAAAAATTGCATTACATACAAATGTATTACTGCTATGAGGATAGCACAGGAGAAAATCACTGTCAGCATGAACTGAAAGCATGTCCTTCCCCTTTTAAATAACTTTACCTGCCACTGAAATAGCAGAAACCCCTATTTACAACTTTTTCCAGCAAGAAAAAAGGCAATGCAATGGTGTCTTGATAATGATAAAACTAGTGATGATAGACCATCACTAATCTCAAAAGCCCACACCCAGTTCAGTTGCTCCTTTCCTTGCATGCTCCCTTCACAGTGCTGTCTGTCAGTAGCAGAGAACTTAGTTGTGGATTATGGAATTTTCTCCTTGTACCTCTATGCAGGGGAGTGATGTCACTTGAGTTAAAAAAAAAAAACAAAACCAAAACAACAACAAAAAAGGAAAATACCTTGTATCTGCTGTCCTTGATGACTTTGATACAATAAACACATCTGAAAAAAAATGAACCATACTAAATTTGATTCATGTCAGAAAATTATTGTAGTATTAAATACTTCAGTGAATTGTGTATTAGTCAAACCCAACTAAAAACACAGAAATTTTCACATTTGTAGAGCAAGTCCTATCAAAAAAATAACTGTCTGAGGAAAAGGCAGAGTACTTCTCCTTTACAATTAGCACATATCCTTTAGAGGACATGGAAATTATTGTCTTCAGTAGATGTACCACATACTTAAGGTAATCCACCTATTCAGTATGGAATTCTGAGTTTTCATTGCAACCTGTTGCTCTCTTCTCCTGTGAACTCAATTTTGAGTACAGAATTCAGAAATTATGCCACCATAAGAGGTTATTTGCCTACTCTCACCACTAAGCAGAAAAGCAAGCCTTTTTCCTGAAGAAAAAAATGTTTAGGTTTCCATCTGTCACCTTCCCCAGGGCTCCCTTTATGGACTGTATGGTTTGTTACAGGAATTGTAGCACTGATTCTCAGTAAGCATCACCTGATTCCTTGTGTCTGCAAAAACACGGGTACATAAATTTTGCTAACAGAGAAGGAACGTGTCATAGTAACTATCACAACCACTCGTGCCATCTTTCTTTCCACATCAGACTTGCAAGACAAAAATTTTAAACCTGCAATGCCATGGAAAGCATACATCTGGAGGAGAAATTTTCCTTACATTTCCTAAAGTAATCACAAATCACAAAAATGATGACATTCATTATATAAAAGATTTCTCGTGTTATTTCTCCTTTTTGCCCTGGCTGTATTGCATGCAGTTTATGTCTTGTAGATTGTTTTAACCCTTAAGACAGGGCTGTATTTAAGTGCTGTTTCATGTTTTGCCTTGGGTTTGTTTTGTTTGTTTGTAGAACACAGCTCTAGATAAAGAGAGTCAGATTTTCTGCAGCAAGCGCTGTCAGGACTCTGGTAGAGCTGGAATGGAGAAAATTTCTGCAATTGCTGCTGCAGCTGCTGATCCTCGTGTGGCTGGGTCCGAGCCCCTCCTCCCTGCTGCTCCTGAGCCACTCCGGTCCCCCACGCTGCCTTCTCCTGAGCTTGCTGGGGATCAGCCTGGTGCCTAGGACTGGGGAAGACAAATCCAACTGAAGCTCCCCACACTCTGGCCACAGTTTTCTTCATTTCCTGTGACTGTTTTCAGTTTGTGTGCACCTCTCATGGCAAGCCCCAGCCGGGTCTGATCCTCTCTCAACACAGTGGGTGAATGAACCACATCTTGGGAACAGCAGTAAGGGAAAGACTCTGGCAATGTTAGGTGGTTTTTTTAAGTTCTCTGTGTTAATTATTAATTCCATTTCACACAGCCTTGGGCTCTAAATAGACTAACTTATGGTGTAGCTAACCATATTTTTATATGAGCAGTGAGGTGGGGAACAGTTACCTGGCCTCGCTTCCACCAGCAGGCCCTGTTCTGTTCTTCTGATGGGAATTCTCAGAGAAGTGGGAGAGGCAGACAAAGGAAGCAAACTTCTATTTGCCTTCAATTCCAATGCCTCTATTTTTAGCCAAGTTTCTACTAGACTTGAAGAGGCAAATTATCATGACTTTTTTAGTGGAATAACTGTAAAATACCATGAGACAAACATTTGGAGATAGGGAGAGAAGGATGGTTGTTTTCCATCAAGTTTGTTATCTGATTTGCAGGCAGGGTAGTGTTTAGATAATATGAATTTAAATAAAGTAACTTGGGATGTAAACATGAGCAGTGGACATTTATTTGTTACGAAGACTGGAGTGAAGGAAGCATTTTTGCTTTAGCCATTTTCTATCCTAACCACAGGTGTCCCATCCACACCTTTCTCCAGGGTCAGACTACCTGTTAGATAAAATAAAATTACTTTGGGCCTGTGAAGGGAAAGCCTGCTGCATGTTATCCAAGCTATGATGAACTGAGCAGCTCCTGATTCTAGGACAAGATGATAGAGGAGCTACCATCAATAGCCATCAGAGGTTTGTCAGTGCTATCCCCCTGTTCACCTGGTGCAGGCACTGGAAACCAGGATTGGGAGGCAGCTCTCCTTAATCTGCAGTCACAAAATAGACAAGGTTTTCTCTTTACCGTAATGCTTAGTTCAATAGAGTATGTATTCGGCTTAATCCTTTTCCTTTGCTCGTTCTTATTCATTGGTCATAGTTCATTTTTTTCTCTTAGCTATACTTTCTACTAGAATTGTAAGAGAAAGACCTGCAATAAACTTTCTTCATTAAAAAAAACAAAACAAACCACAGAAAGTCATTAATTTCTTTGAGAACTCAGTTATTTTGTCAGTGACACTGTTGTCTTATTCCCCCTGGAGAGACTGAACAATTAGATGCCTATCAAAACAACTTAATAGAATTAATTTGAGGGATTCCCATAAACTTCATTGTTTTGAGGTTCATTGCTTCCTATGAAAGCTGTGATTAAACATGATTGCTTTACCTTTTGAAGAGATTTAAAGATCAGAAGGTGCCAACTGATAACTTAAGGCCATGGTGGCTGAAAGATGTACAACATCTTGGCAAAAAAAATGGTTTTAAAGGTAGCAAAACATGGCATGTCTTAAACTAGAATAAAAAGGTTGGGCTACAACGAATCCTTGTTAATTAACTTTGTTATGGGTTCCCTAGAGTAAGTTCAGTATACTTGAAGAGTATGGGAATAGCCTTTCTGTAAAATAATTTGCTTTTTGGTACAGTGCAAAAAGCTGAAGCCATCACTCCAACCTTAATCAGAAGAGAAACTGGTGAGAATCTGTAGCTGGCTGCCTGTGTGGTTGGTGATTTCTGCAACACATCTCAGACTCAGCTAAAGAAAGGATGTGGAATGTCAGCTGGAGCAAGCTAATCAGCCCCCACAGCAAAGAGCTGTGCTTTTCTCTCCAAAAGAGCTGAACTGAGAGATCAGCAGAGAGGGAGCATCAAGCAAATTATGAATCCTGGGTAAAGTTTTGTTTTTCCTAAGAGGATGGATTCACCTATGAAGAAAAAAAAAATGACATGGATTGGCAAGGATATCCAACAAGTTGTGTTGCACAAATAATTATGCATCTATAACAGAAAGTATCATCATTTGCTGGGTCAACAGCTGGCAGTTCTAAACTATTGCCTTGTCTCATGGAAGAAGAAAGTTAAGAGAAATACCCTGAATTCATGTTCCTAAGTTCATGACTGATCAACATCTAAACAGTCTTAGACAAGTGTTTTGCCTCACAGAGCAGAGGCAGGTTCCAAAATGCCTATTTAAAAATAGTGATGACAGCTGGAAACGATAATCATATGGCAAACAATCAGATTAAAACATAGGATAGCTGGGAAATTCCCCAACTCTTTGTGTGACCTTAGGAAAATTATAGCACTACTCCATGCCTTAAAATAATTCCACGTAAGTTCAGTCTGTTAACAGGTGCAGGAGATATCACACTTTAACATAAAAATAAAATAAAGATGTGTTGGTCGACACTAAAACACTTAATGCAGGTCCCTAAGTATCAGATTTGGTTTCTTACCTGCTGCACTTTCATTTAGTCCTTCTCTTGTAGAACTACAATTGCTGCTGGAGGAAGACGGTTCACAGTTGTTTTTTTACTGTTACATAGGGAAAGAAACTATTATAGCAAACAAGTTACTTACTTTTCAGAAAGGACTGTTACAAATGCTCCACAGTGACAGCTCTACTGCTACCATGCCCACATTTTAAGAAATTATTCATTAAAAAAAATCTTTTAAAATATCCTAATCTTTCTAGGTCCTTTGTTCACAAAAGTCCAATGAGCCATTCCTGCAGTTCTAGATTTAAAGTCCCAAGACTGAATCTTCTGCCATAAATCAGCAAAACACTGTATCCACTGATTGATTCCCATCAATATTTTACCCTTGTAGACAATTACCCCCATTCTGGAACATCAAAAATTATTTAAAATAATTCTCAAATTATATTAATGAAGATGCTGTTTCATGGTATTACTTTCATCAAGTATTGACTCATTCTTAGCAACTAATTGTCAAGAATATTTACACTGGCCAGCAAATCCCATTTAACCCTGGTTTTCACATCTTCCTTCCAGTAGTCACTGGTCTAATTATTATAGCTTGGTAGCATAGATCTACTGATTCCTTCACTTTTACATAAATATATGTATTTATCAATCAGTCATCTTTGGTTTTATCAGTTTTTAAATGGGAAGTTATATTTTGCATTTACTCATTTTTTTCTTCCAAGCTACATCCAAACAGCAATTGGAAAGAAGCAGAAATGCACAAAACTAGCAACCTACCCAAAATGCTCATTAAGTAAAACTGATGGTTTTAAGATGACAAAAAAGACAAGCAAATCAAACTCTCCTACTTGCAGTCAGCTTCAATGTCTAAAGCACAGAAATAGGTATTTAGTTGAGCTTTTCTGTCAGGGGATCATTCTAGCAGGATTTTTGTTTTCTTTTTGAACTAAATTAGCATCATGAAAAGAAAAATAATAGGGCAGGGACTGGTAGCTGCAGCAACAATCCACTAGGAAGCTGTTGTTTCTGTTCATTATCATATTTTTTGTTTACAAAGAGAATTTGGATTTTAAGTGCCTTTACTTCCTTTGGAAACAGTAAGCCAAGAGTGTGAATCGTGCAAGGTGCAGGTTTCAAAGAAGTACCAAAAACTGTTCCCTCCTCCCCAAAATAATAGGTGAGATAATTATCAATTAATGGGAAATACTGAAGTGTACAGCATTTAACTGCTGTATGTTTAAACACTGCTTACATTACACTACTTGTGTTGTTTCAAATGGTCAGATTTTGGTTTTTGCAGCTACAGAGGCTTGAAAAAAGTATCCCTTGCACACAGGATAAGCAAGGTAAAAAGCAAAATGGCAGAGCAAGGTACAAAGTCATTTCCGTTCCTGGACATTGCTATTCCTGACTGCACCAAAGTCTCACCACAACTAGACTGAGCTGTGCCTGCAATATTTTTAGCTCAGAGCTCACACAGTAGCAAGAAAAATACTAGGATAACTTGAAGATAAAAATAAAAGAATAAATTATCACTTCTCAAACATCCATTTATCAAACAGCAAGTATCACATTTTGGAAACCCCCTTTTGTCTATTTCCACACAATGCAGCATCATTTCCAAAGCACACACCAAAATGTCTTTATTTAGCTGACTATATGATGCAGTCCTGGGGCAGTTGTGTGCAATTGCAGATTTTACTAAATACACACGTCTCTTTGTTTTTAAGACTATGTTTTCCACTATTATCTCAATTAATTTACAAAAAAAAAAAAAAAAGTAGTTTTATTTCCTACAATATATAAATAGTTGTGAAATATTTTACATTCCTTTTCTAACAATATGCTTCTTGATAATGTCTGAAAGTAAGCTGTTTACAAGTTAGAGTTTATTCTTTCAAAGTGTGTATGTTTTAATCTTTTTTCACCTCATGACAATGGTTGTATTTGAATTGAGGAGCTTTAGGTTAAACATAGTTGAAATTTCAGTATGCCTAAGCAAAATCTAAAACCATTTCTTAGGTTTATTTTTTTGTCCAGAGCTTTTAAAGAGCAGCTTTAAATTATGATGCATCATTAACTGCATTAGTTTACTGAAGAACGTAGGTTGGTTCTGCATAAAAGTAAACTGTTTTGGATTTCATGTAATGTTTTAATGGTAAATCCATGCAAGTGACTCATTTCAAGTGTTACACAAACATCCTAACTCTGTATGGGAGAGGCCTCACTGGTTTGGAGCAGCACTCTCAGAATGGCCCATTTCTGGTTCTGTTTAACGAGGATAAACCCAGTTTCTTAAGAACAATATAGTGATCTGTTGCTCCCCTTGAACTACTTCTAGGAGGAAGAAAAAAAAAAATCCATTCCATAAGCACACTGAAATCTCTATGAGTATGAAATTTAGGACATGAAGTGGAAAAACTACAATCTAGTCACATTACCTAAGCCATTCTTGTTCTATACAACTAACAGCAATCATGTCCTGAGTAAAGCTGCAATAAAATTCATTTCCCATTACCTTGGTATCAGATCAGCTCTTTGGGATATTTATCAGAAACAAAGTACTGCTGATAGGTGAAGGACTACCAAGACGATGTCAGGGCCAGAAATAATAAGAGATACAGACACAGCTTGCCTTCAGGTGTAGAGACAGACAGCACAATACAGCCAAGAACTGTAGAAATATTCTCAAGTCTCAGAGCATTCATTTACCTCTGCCTGCAGTAGCACCACAACATAAACTTCCTTCAGAGAAACCCCTGTTTTGACCATCCCATCTTCCCTTGCCAGATCCTACCACATTTCTATCAGCAATTTGCTGATAGAAAATACAAGGGATTTCAAGTGACATTTGCCAAGTACTGCACAACCCAACCAAGCAGCACTGCTGCAGAGCTTCCATAGCCACAGCTGGCAGCAGCTCTGTTTGAGCTCACCAGGGCAGAAGAAAGGCCAGACTGTCACATAAAAAAATGTTCTTCATAAATGCTCCCTCTGCATAAACACATTTGAGGAGAGAGGTCTGTCCCTTTCTTCAGGAATATTCTGCCAATACCAGCCAAATGAGGCCCAGCTGCAGGTTAATGCCTGGCACCTCCTGATAAATAGATTTTAGGTGATCCATGTGACACAGTGCTGTCCTGAGTAGCTGGAAATTTAACCCTGGCTTCCATCTCAGCACCTCAGCATGAGGTGGACTGCTTCAGCCAAAACTGAGATCCAAGTGCATGGCTGGGCTCCAGGGTGGTGCCCAAGGTATTTGGGTTCATCTGTGGAAGGAGGGGGATGTCCTACTCACCAGAGCAGTCCAGAACAGGTGTGTCTTCGCAGGCTTGCTCATGGAGGAGAATGTGAAGATGTCCTCTCCCACAGAAGGGCTGCAGCACTCCAAAGGCAAAACACCACTGCTGAAGCAAGTGGAAGAAGCAGCTGCTGCATCCCAAGGAGGGTTAGATGCAACTCAGGCCAGCACACACAGGTACACTTGTGCTTCCAGTTTGGGAAAGAAGCTCCTGATCCAATGGAGCCCTTTCGAAAACGAGCAACCTACCAAACCAACTCCCTGGGAAGTATTCTGGCTCCGAGATCAGGAGCTGTTATTTCCATCAATAATGAAGTGTTTCCTCATAAAGAGAAGACTTTCAGGATTTCCATTTGGCAAAAAACATCTTTTTCTTGTTTTCCCTCCACCCAGTCTAGGAAACCCACCCCTGGCTTGAGGCAAATGCAAATTTAAGTTCAAGACCATTCCAATTTCCCCTCAAACTCTGCTAGTACAAGGCCGTGAATATTGTTGAACTTCTGGAAATGTGAAATACAAGTTTTGCATAACAAATGTTCAGTATACAGAGCCCAGTACAGCAGGCACTTCCCACAGACATGACCCACTACAGACTTTGCTTAATCCCATCATCCTTGTGCTACATAAAACATGAAAATGCAACTACTAATACACCACAACCACCTCGGTATGAAAATGCAGAAAGCACAGAAAATACCATTTCATGCACACCAAAAGTACATGAAATACATCAGCCATGGCAACCTTTCCCCTGTTAGGAATATACCCTGAATCACAAGAATCCAGTACTCCACTGAAGGTCTCAATTACAAATGTAATTTTATTTAATTTATTCACTCAAACTGAATTTCCTCATTCCAAATCTTTACTGAAAGAGAGAGTAGTTAAATGCTTAGAAAAACCAGGAACTGCTCTAGTAGGCAGCTAGAGAAATGTATGTATCAATACAGATATGGAATGTAAATTTCAACTCAGAGATCACAACATACAAAGAAGATTTTTATGCAATACAGACTTACAAAACAATAACAGTTCTTTTCACAAATATTTTCACAGAGTTCTGCACAGCAATTTTGTAGAAAAGTAGATTTGTGCAACACCAAAATAACTTATTGTTCCATAGTATAAATTATTTTTCATTTCCTAAAAGAAAGAGGTAATTTAATATGACTGGGCAGGATCCAACTGCATTTGGTGGTAGCAAAATACAAAAGACATTGTTGTTATAGGCAGAAAAGGAATATGGCATGTGCTACAGTATCGCAGGGGCATGTTCTAATGAAAAAAGAAAGAAAAAGTGGCCTGCTGCTGCATAGGGGCTGTGCACCAGCAAACACCTGCTGCCTCCCTGCTTTCACAGTCAACCAGCAGAAATGTGCTTTGGAACTTGCCCCTGCTAAAAAACACCTGCCTCTGTGGGCTTCTGGTTTGAAGCCTTCAAAATGAGCTTTCTGATTTGGAGGAACAATCCACATTTTGGTGTGCTTTGAAGGAGATGCCAAGTAGAAACTAAAAAGGATTCACACTTGATGTAACAAAAGCTCCGTTCCCGATTTCTCTCATAACTGCACGAAACATACAACTAAAAAAGAACTAATTGTCTAGGCCTAGAAACATGCTTAAAGAGTAACATCGATGGAAATGATTTGCAAAGTTTAAATTACCTTAACCATAATTTAAATATTACCCCTCGATTCCCAGAAACTTCAGTGCTGATGTAGTACAGTCATTTGGAAAAGTACGAGACAAAGTGTGGTATGGATAGCACAGATTAAAATTCCCCCAATACCATAATTAATTTCCATTATGTTAAAATCATATATTCCTCAAGGTTATAGATAAAGCTTCAGATGGAACATCTGTTTCTTCATAATATAGCTAGAATGTGAGTTTTAACCATCTTTACTTTAGGTTTTGTTTACATACAGGGATCAAAATAGATTTCTCATTGTCACTAAAAATATAGATTTTTTTTTTTAACTACAGAACCCAGCAGCTGGTTTTCTGCTTCTTTGCCCTTCCCCAAAAAAGTCAAGCAAGGTCTACAAAAATAGCAATTAGCTTTAAAAAATAGGTTGCTTCTTTGAGCAAATTTAAGTTACATTCAGATGTAATAGAAGTATTTATAAGGAGCCGTGTGGTGGCTCGACCCCGAGGGAGGCAGTGCTGTGTGCAGCTCCCTCCTGGCCACAGCTGCTCCTGTCAGTGCTTGTCCCAGCCTCTGGGAAGGTCAGTACCTGGTTTGGTACTCGTGGTGCCAGCGATTGAAATCATTGTAAAAAACCACGATGCTCCCGGACGCCATTCCAGTCATTATGCACCTGAGGGAAGCAGATTTACCCGTCAGAAAACACTCAGAGCACCGTGAAACAGTTTGTGAGGCTGGCCTGAAGCTACACCTGAGAGCTGGACAACAGAATTGTTCACCAGCATCCCTGTCCTGCAAGGCCACTTGGGATTCCCCAGGATTATTTCTTGGCTGGTTTTTGGGAGGTACTGGAGTGGGTATGAAGCCCTGGGGTAGCAGCAAAGGGAAGGAAGGCCAGGAGAAGTGTTCATTTCTGTTTCAACTCCCCCAGTTAAGCACATCTACATGAAGGAACTGGGTGTGGGCACAAGCCTTCAGTTGGAAGTACTAAAACTGAAGGCTTTGATTGTTTTGGAAGCTCCTGAAAGCAATCCCTGAGCTTTACCACAGAGATATTCTTTCTTTCCGACTTCCTTACCCTTGGCCTGCTACTGGAGATCGTTTAGATGTGTTTGGAAAGCCATGAGCCTTACACAGAACACAATAACAGGAGTTTCTGGATCATCTTTTCTACAGTCTCATTAAAGTGTTACAAAAATCAGAACTATAAGGATGTATAAAATCCTGTAATTTGGGGGGAAGAAAGCCTTAGAATTAAAAAAATTCAGAGTAAAAGGCTGCAAATATTTTCTTCAAAACAAAGATTAATGATGAGATCATCAAAATATTGCATTTTGATAGGATTGCCTATTTCATGTTAACTATACCATTTTGATTGTTTTTCTATTACGTTAAAATGTCTTTTTGCACACTCTCAAACACATTATACTCATGCATACCAAATAAATAGCTAAGTAATTATCTGTTTTACTCAGAGTAAAATACTCTGAGTCTTCCTTGTCTTCCAACCCAAAGTGAATATGATGTGAATAGGTTTTTAACTTGACTCCATGGATAAATTTCTCTATGTTCACATTAAATTTTAGTTCATTAACATGTCATTAATTACTGTTTAAAGATTCTCTAAATGCACCATTTCCAAGTCAAAAATTCAACAGCCATAACTCCAGTTTTCAAAATATATTTAACAGCAAGGGCTTTTTTTAATGGAAAAGGATTTAATCCAAAATGCCAATATTCTCTACTTATGCTTACCAAGAAGCTGTTCAGTGTTTCATTGAAGTCCACAGGTTTTACTGGTTTGGATTTTTTTAAAATTCCATTTTATGTAATATAATTTTATGTATAGACAAAAATTTTCAAAACATTCAGTATGGACTTCAGTAAGTGGAAGGCTAAGAGCCTCAACAGCATGCTTTACTGCACAATGTAGACATCCCTAAGGGATTTAGGAGACAAATCTGCTTGAAAAGTACACAGAAACATGATTTAGTAAATACACTGTGGGAAATAAAATCCTAGCCTGAAAGCTAAAGGTGTTGAGATGAAATGGGAAACATCCATCTTATAAACAATATTTCTGTGATAAAAGCACTGAAGCATTGTCAAGTACAGTTGCATTGGAAAGTGTGATGTGAAACTGCAGTAAAAATTTTAACTGGTCACCTTCAGCGGGAGTGGTGTTCAAAAAGGCTCATGCTGTATGTGGATAAAATAACTTTTCTAGAACTGAGAATGACTCTTTGCTGTAGCAAATATATGGGTGTGTGGAGGGAATCTTCCTGTGCAGCTATTCCAACTGTTCTATTTTAAACATAAAAGTCTGGAATTAGGAATGTGATTCGTCTTGTAAGTGAAAGAAGAGAGATGAAAGCACACATGTAACCTTCCACCTCCATGTGACCCACACTGTACGCTTGTGCAGACCAATAACTCAACCTATCTTGAAAGTCTGCCAAAGTAAGATTTCTTGGATCTCTCTTCATTCCCCAAAGAGCTGAAATCCTGAAAAAGATTATCTGCCTTGAATAAAACATGTTAGAAAAAAATCTTTTGCCAGCACCGAATTCTCAAGATAATCACCAGGATCTGTGACCCACAGGAAATCACAATCAGAACAACAACAAAAATGCAATTTAACTGTAAATATATATTCCCCAACACTCTTGTTCAGACCAGACTTTGTTCTCACCTTTGGTCATAGGACAGGGCCATGGATCGGATTCCAGCATCGCACCCTGGGTAAGCAAAGAGCCGTTTGAGGTCCCACACCTGCCAGACCATGACAACCCCATTGTCTCCACCTGTCAGCAGATACTGTCCATCCCGACTCAGCTGAATGGCCTGGGGGCAAAGCAAAGGGAGATTTGTCAGATAAATGTGTGTGTTGCTCTTACTTCCCCACTTTTCCTTTCAAAAAAAGGTTTCCTATTGATAGCTGAATGCCCAGGGAGACTTTGATATCAACACAAGCTTTTGGGAAGCAACATTATTGTTATTTTACCCAGCAAGAGAATTAATGCTGTTACGCATGACTCTCCAATACATTAGATGTCACTAGTTAAGTCTCACCTGACCTGTGATTTATTCCATGTTCCAAAGATCCAATATGAGGTCAGCTAAAGAAATTTACTCTTCTAATTAGCTAGATTTACAGGATGCAGCAGCGCTGGCATTAAAATATAGCACCTGACATTCCCCCAAGGGTCTTTAATACCAGCCTAGCAGAAGCTGAATGTTGACAGGAACTGAACTGTTATATGAACCTCTAAAATTAATTTAGACCAGCACTATTAGATTACTGCACTGGATTAATAAAATAATGATGTGCCTTTCTTAATAGACTGTGTTTCCTTTCATCATCCACCCTGAAACTGCCTGTGAAAAATTCTATGGCATATACACTGTTTTGTATGCATCATGGGGACTGATGGCAAATCTGTATTTGAAATCTTTATTTGGGAACTAGATCACAAAGAAAGACTGGATATCATTGGTTTTCAGAGTCAAGACTTCTTCAAACAGGAATCTTCAATCCATTTTAGTATTTCTTGTGTGCTATTGGAAAAAAAATCAAGATACATACTGAATACCCTGAAGAATAATTTTCCTTCTTTATCTGATGACTATACCAGATGATACTATCAGATCATATGGACATCAGTCCATATGATGAGATGATGATAGTCCAGGACTATCAATGGACAGGATTCAGGAGAAATCTTTCTTAAAATAGGTATTTATCCAGTGTAAATACACCAAAATGGGTCTTAAGAGAACTGAACTTGAAATATTATTACAGCAAGTGCTAATTTATGGGGTGAGAGAGACCATGACCCATCTAGCCCAGAGGTCTTATTCCCAACAAAGGCAGCAGGAGATGCTGCCAGCCTGGTCAGCACAGCTCTCTCTCCCCCTGTGCACCACAACACCCAAAATCACTGGAGTAGGAAGATCAGAAAGTTCCTGTTCCCTTTAGTATCTATTTATGGAAATGCTTCCCATGAATTTTCTTAATCTTTTTTTTAGAGCCTGCTAATGCCTTCTGAAGGGGGCAAGAAATTGGCAGAAGTTTACAACAGGTTTATTCTGTTTTGAGGTGATCCTACCGGTTTCAGCGTGTACCCCAAAGGTCTCATATTATGGAGTTTCTTGAATAAGAGTTCTCAATTCATCTCAGGAATTGCCTTTATCACTCTGTAAACTTTCAGCATTCTCCATCTCAAAAAGCACTGAATGAAGCTGCTTCCCAACACCAACCCTTGGAAGAGTCCATGACTTGACTTTTCTCACAGCATGTGAGCATTTTTCCCATGTGAGTCTCAGTAATGACAACTACAGAAACCCTGAGGAGAATAAAAACTTCATCTGAAAGGAAGCTCCAGCCCTGCTTCTGGACAGAAAAGAACTGTAAACAGTAGAGAATACCAGGCCCTGATTTTATAGCCTCATCCTCCAACTGTTCAGGAAAACTGAAAGGTCTGCAGCATTTTCCAAAGAAAGAAAACCAAAAAGCTGGATGGATTCTGTTATGTGGAATAACATCAGCATGATGTTATTCATGTTATCAGCATGAGCCACCAGCAAGATCAAGACCCTTGAAACTACATTTTGGACCATGATTAATAATTCCAGTAAACCCAAACCTTTTCCTATGCTCTGTTTCCAGGTGCATCTTCTCAACTCTCTTTCTGACTTTTGCTCCCCAGTCTGACTTCTGTTTTTCTGTCTCTGCTCTCTCCTTTTAGATTTGTCCACAATACTCAGGACAGGAGCAGCCTGTCCTTGGTTCTGCTCTTTTTTCTCCTCTGCTTCCTTATCAGTTCTTCCCTTTTCTTGTCCAGGGTCACAACCATCACATTTCCTGCCCTAGACCTTTCGTGCACCTCTTTGTGAGGGATGATTGGTTGCAGGGGAAAACTGCATCCATGTCCTACAGATGTTCAGTACAGAATATGAATACTAAGGATTATCTACAAATGTATTCAACCTAAGGTTTGTGAATCAGCTAAATTTGGGCAGCCTTTCAATACACACCCTTCACATCAGCATTAATTTTTGATAAATTTCAGCTGGCCCAGCTTCTCAATAGAATGATGTAAGAATGAAGGATAAGAATGAAGGATGTTAAGAGCAGCGGCTTTTAAATTTCATAAAAACTCTCTACAAACAAACGGATTATTTTTGACAAAATATTGTCACTGGAAGGCATTACTGCCACGAGATGATAGTCTACAAGCAAAATTGCATCTCAGAGATTTAAATTCGAGAAATAGTAAAAAGAACTGAAGATGGGATTTTGCAAACACCTCTCTGCTGAAGTCTGTAGTTATTTTGGCACCTGCAGTCTCTGCTTATCCAGGTCTGCAAATACACAAAACTTTTTATATGCCTCAGGAAAAGAACGTTTGGGGATTTTCTTAACATAGAGAATTTATAGCGCACGCGAACCACAAAAAATCACAGAAACTAAAACACAAAGATGTTACGTTCATGCAACACTGAAGTGTTTATACAGACTGCTGACAAGCCTAGAAACCAAAATATACAGTGTGTGTAAGATACTGCTTTGTGAGCAGCAGTAACTGGAATCAGACATATTGCACATCTGTATTTTTTTGTATTGCTTCACTCTATTACTGTGATGCCAAATACATCCTGTAAGAATTATACGATGTGTGACATTTAAGATTAAGATAGAGCTTCTATATTATGTTGTAAATTTTGAGTGTTTACTGCAACAACTCCCAAGGAGTCAGAATGGATCACATTGATGGGATTTTATTTCATACAATAACTTTAAAAGGAGTATAATTGAAACACAAACACATACTATAAACAAAATGTAACACTGAGGAAAAAAGAAAAAAAAAAAGATGATAGACCTGTTCCACCCATATTTTGAACTAAGATGACAAGATATACATGTAAATTTAGACACAATAAAGCAGAACTTGTAGAGTTTTTCCAACCACATCTGAGTATGGAAAACAGAATACTAACAAAGATTAGACTTGAGTATTCTAAATTGAAGCTTCTCCCCCAAAAAATAAATGTTCCAACCATTAATTGCTTCTGTAATTTGAAAACTCTAATTTAGAGGCTGTCTTAGAAGAGTAGAGTAAGAAAGGGGCAGAAAACAAACTGATTAAGACTGAAAATTATCTATAACTAGCATGCACTGAATGGATGATCATGAGATCTAACTAACCACACAAGTATTAAAGAGATTATTCATTAAAAGCAAGAATCAATATGGGGTAGTTTTCTTCTCTATAGCAATAGCAACCTCCTAAGGGTATTTCCAAATTGCAATGAAGACCGTGACAAATAATTATTTGCTACACTTATAAAATTCAGCTGATGAAAATCCATTAACCTTATGGTCATGGTTCACTTGAATTTTATACTTGAGGCTTTAACTGAAGAAATGCTATATTAAAAGGCAAATTAAAGTCATTAATCTTTAACTCTTCCACTACCTGCAACATGCAGTAGGTTTTGTGATCTTTTGATTAAATAAAGTACAGGCTTTGAACCCTTACTAATACCTATGCAATTTTACTAAGTCACTGGCTTGTCATGAAGACAAGATGTTGATTTATTTAATGTTTATTCTTTATAAATAAATTTATATATATATATATATATATAAAGGGATGGAGGAATGAATGAAGGGATGGAGGAATGAATGGAAGGAAAAGGTAACTGTCAACATTTCAGTTTCATGATACGTCCTTCAAGATTTAACAAACAAAAGGATGCTTTTACTCCCAAGTACTCCAACTGGTATAGAGGACAACGTAAATCAATTTTACTATTGTGCTTTTCCCCAGAGTAGTTTATCTGCAATTCTGCTAGGTGTGAAACTGAAACAACCCTGAAACTAATCTTTCTCACAACAGAGCTTCAGGCTCTCAAATAATCCCCAAAGCACACAATTTCAGCAACATTCTAAAATCTGCATTTCTGATTTGTATTTCCTTGGAAAGTCTCAAAACTTTGCACAAATCCCTTTTAACATTTCAGGTTTTTGAAAGGCAGTGCTTTGTTAAAAGGCAGAGCTGACACTGTGACAGACGTGGCTTACAGCAGCAGGAGTCTTGTGAGTACTTCCACATTTCAAAACGGACTCAGGAAAGGAAAATAAATTGGTTCCTCTGGGTGAAACAGCACACAGTCTTTGTTTAGGGTAAAATAACTTTACCTCTCAGAACAAGCAGACTATTTAAAGTTAAAGGTATTCATTAAGATATCTAAACACTACATGCTAGATGTACCGCGATATGCCTAAGCTCCACTGAGCAAAACAGTATTTAAAACAAAAACAGGTGGAAGGCATTGATTAGGCCCTGAATTTCCCCAGAGGGTCTGAATTTTTTCTGGCAGCTTTCTAGCACAAGAATACAAGAAAGAAAATCAGAATGTTGATCCCAACATCACTATTGAAAACTACAAGTTTTCAACTACAACAACGTCCTGAAATACTGGTCCTTAATGACACAGGAAAACCAAAGCTGTTACATTACAAATTCCACACTTAAGACCTTTTTCCTTCCCTTTTCTACCCTTCCCAAGCAAAAGCCAATGAGGAGAGTTTGTCAGCACAGCCCATGGGTAGGTGCTATTCATTTTAAATGCCCCACTTTAATCATGCAGTTGCCACTCTCCTTCAGTGATGATGTAGTGCAGAAGCACTGGCAGAGACGCTGTAGGTTGTTTAAGCGTAAAGCTCAGCTGGGACCACTGGGAGATAAAGAAAACAAAACAAAACAAAATAAACCCCAAACCCCTCTACAAACATAATTCTGGCCCACAGAGAGTAGAACTTCCATTGCCTCCAGCAACATTCCTAAAGCTGTGGGTACTGACTGAAACACTACAGAAATTGTTTTAGCCGGCAAGGGATTTCTAGATATTTTACAGATTTGCTGGCCTAGCTGACAACATAATCACAACTGAAAGTGACAGATTATCAACATTATTAATGTAAAAAGAGAAAACACTGTGATATGGTCTTGCTTTATGGAAAAAACTCTGAGATGAAGGGTAGGCTGAAAATCTCAGAAGTATTTGTACAAGGACAGCCAAAGGAACAATTTCAGGCAATCTATGCAAAAATCTACATTAATTTGGAAAAATGTACACTACTTCACTTCCCCAGCCTCAAACCTACACTTGTGGCTACCACAGAACACAGAAATCAAATGCCCCCTTACCCTTTCAGATTGCGCTCTCACCATGGAAAAGGGACCTACAGAGAGTGCTATTAATAGTACAAAAATGAAAGATCAAAATTCTTTAAAATACACTGACACGTTCTTCCATCTTTAGTATGGAAAGAAGTGCTCACAACTTTGCACAACAGCTGAAAGAATGCCAATTATTCTGTAAAACAAACATGATGGCAGAGAGGGATTTCCTTCCTGACATGTGTAATCCAAATAAAGGAAAAATTTCTGAGTTTTCAACTTAAAAGAACATTGGAAATCCCAGCAGCTGAGTTACTGGGATCTTCCATCAGATTACAAAAATCATCTTGGAGGTGTGGTACTGCAGTACAGCTGGCAGCTCCTGTTCTGTTTCATAGGTACTATTACACAGGAACTGTCAAGAGACCTTCATTTTGTATTATAAAATAATTTTCAGAAAGCCATAATCTTAAAATGCCTCCTGCATAATTTTGGACTTGCTCCATGTCTCTTGCAGCTAAAGACGTGGAACTCTGCTGCATGCTTAACAAATGCCAAAGGGCTAAAAGAGTTAAGTATAGATATATCCCTGTAAACTTTCTGGAGCTCAGCACAACACATGCAGGAATGCAGTCAGAGATGCCAAAAGAAAGAGAAAACTAATATTTAAAATAGCATGTCCACTGACCTCCTGCCTTCAGACTCAAAAGTAAAGATGCAGCACAGCCTCTCCTGGTCAGCAATTAGTAATATCTGTATTCTTCAGCTCAAGGAAATGCCTACGCAGTATTCCTTACATTATGAACAGAGTAATTTTACAGTTAAAACTGCAAAAAATCTCCTCTTAATATTATTGAGAGTACGTGGTCCCCTTTAACTTTTTCAGAATGCTGCTATGCAATGGTCTTGTACCACATATTTATGGTCTGGCTATAGAAAGAGTCTCCACACAACTCCAGCATTGACAGCTTTTCCCCATGGAACTGACAGCACACATTTGAGGACACTCACCCTTATCTTGTCATCTGTTTCCATAGTGGCCTGCAGTCTCCCATTCACACTGAACACACAGAAGAGGCCGTTTTCATAATATATGACACAGTGGCCTTCTCTGGAAGCTTGAATAAGTTTTGGTCTCAGGCAGCTTTCGGGACCTTGTAATCTTTCACGACCTTCTAATGTCCTCAGTAGATCTCCATTCATAGAATGTATAAGACATGGTCCTTCTAGTGAGACAGAACAGGATCTCAGGTTATTGATTTATACACTCAATTATAGACATCATTTTTCAAATAATATTTGAAAATATTATATTACTTAAATAATTTTATAATACTTAAATAATTAATAATTATATTACTTAAATAATCACTATTATACTACTTTAAAATGGTTGTTACCATGTTTAGGTGAATTGCCTATGACTTCAAGGGTGTCAGACACTAAGATAAATGGCTTACCCCTTAAAAGCTTTCCATTAAGGTATTTTAGAGCATGTAGATTGAATTCTGTGGATTTTCTTTTAAAGCAGATAGTAGTTAATTTTGAGATTATTTAATTTTGAGTAATTAAGCATACTGAGCCTTGAAAGGAGATTTTCAAAAGAGACACACAGAGCTAAGAGTAATGAATTTGCATGGGTAGGTATTCTACAAGTGTATGTACTCATATTATGATTTTAAGCTATACATGACCCAGTAAATATTTTCTTTTTTAACACATTTTGACAAATACCTGATTTGCACATCAGCCACACAAGTTCACATGCATAACACAGAAATGAACACAGACCATAAGTACACCCAAATCTGGAGACGTATCCCTGAGTAACTACTTTAGAAACACTAAAGTAGAAAGATAATGAGATCTTAAGATATTAAAATAAATAAATATTTATATATAAATATAAATACTAATAAGATACTAAATAAGATACTGATTCAAATAAATTTACAGTTTAAAAATAAATGTGGACAATTAAGCTAATAAGAAAATTATAAAGAATGTCCACAGAATGAACACCGTTCTTTATAATTTTCCTGCTAAAAGCAAATCTTTTAGAACACAAATGGAGCATATTAGAGGCTTTGCAACCAAGCTGAAAGAGCCTGAACAGAATTACCAGTACTTTATACACACCCTTCATCAAACAAACAGTCCAGCACATTCTCTTTCTCTCAAAGCTAATTTTTGCTTCCCCTTTTTGAGAAGTTATCCATAACAGCCCCTCTTAACCATCCTGGCCCTCAAAGGCTGTATCCAACTATGCTATATGCAATTACACACTGGATAAACAAACAGAAATAGCAAGCAGGAGGGAAACTGATGTGGTTGCCTCCTTTTATGAATGTCTGAACAATACTCCATTTTAATGTGTTTAAAAAGAGGTTTAAAATTCCATAGCAACTAAAAAAAAGGCTAGAAATAAAACCACCATAAAGTTTATAAATTCTGCCACTTGAGACTATATTCCTCTTGGATCCTATTAGGATTATAGCTTCATGAACAGAAAGAAATGACAAGAGCTACCTTACCTTTTGAACCACTTATTACCAGGCCAAGCTCAGCACAAATGGCAGCACAGGTGATCTCATAGTCATGTCCTGTCAGAACAGCTCGAGGAGTTGCGAAATCACCTGCAGTGAAAAAACAATAAAAGCAATCCTTGGTTACAATCTATTCCCAAAATCACTGCTTTCCATCACTGAAGCACCTTCTGTTTCCTTGCTCTTTTGAGTTCATGTTGCTTACAAATCACTTCAATGCTCCTGTTTGCATACAGGACGGTTGCACTGTGTCTGCAGATTTACTAACATGCAATAATAGGAAAGTCAGGTGTGCAGTAAAACCAACCAAAGTTGGTTTCCCCTCCCTCTGTCTCCCCCTCTAATTTATATTTTGTGGAGAGGGAGATTTAAGTCAATTACTACCCTTTCCTACAACAGGCATTGGTAAATGCAAGCATCACTACGGTAGCTCTCAAGAGAAGACACCTGAAGTACCCAAAGAAGGAAAACTTCCAGTGACTGATTTTATTTTAACCTAGTAACAGTGCTGAAACCTCAGCCTGAAGTCTAGTTCTTTGCAAGATGTGGAGCTTGGACCACAGCGAGTATGATGAATTTGCAAAAAAGTCCCACTCAAACCCAATATTAATGCTCCTATTAGACATTTCCCTGCTACAGTAACTGTATTTTTTTTTTTTTTTGGTAATTCTCTCTATAATCAAACATATATGGATACAATAAAAAAGAATTGTACAACTGGCACATTTAAAGGAAAAAAACATTATTCTCCAGGTCAAGGCAGCAAAAGGGTAAGCAAATGCTATAAAGCTCTTTAAATAGTTTTATAACATTGCTCAAAGGTTATTCACTGCCTTCCAAGAGTGCTGCCATTTCAAAAAATCACAAAGTTATTTTTGTATTACCATATAATTATCTCATTCATAGCATCCTACAAAGCATTTAAACACCAACAAGGCAGTAAAAGAGTGGTAAAATCAACCTTATTTTTCACTTGGAAAAGAGGAGATGGTATTACAAAGACACAGAGTGGGACCAATTGACCCCATTAGTTACTAAGTTAGCATCAATCAAATTACATTTGAGGTTGTAACTTTTTAAAAGATAAATGGCATTAATCTGTCCATGCAGAGCAGCACCAGCACTACTGGTACTGACTGTTATTATAAATCATGGAGCTATATTTAAAGGGATAGTTTCTCAGAAGCTGCATGTGTACACTGAGAGATTTCTCTGCAAAAGAAGTGTCAGATCTGGGCTTGCATGAATATTTTTACTCAGACCATTTATACCACCTCCCAAAACATCTGTGCAGCTGCCACATTCCAATGGCTTTTAAGTAAAGGTCATAATCTCTGACAAAGTCTCAAATCAAGAATTTTGACCTTTCAAAATTTGATTTGTTCTGCAGTTACTATTACAAGTTGTATCAACAATACAAAACCTTGAAAAGTAAATAAACCTATTTATTCTTAGATATATCCACAGACATTATATGTGTGTGCATACATGTACACACCCAGGCATATATGTTGCTGGCATTTTAAATCTAAACATGCTTTGGAGCAACTTGCTGAATTGTCCTAATCTCTTAAGAAACAGCCATTAGAAGCTGTCACTTTTGTTTCATGTAATGTTTGAAAAAACTGACTCAATCCCAGGAAGTATGGCAGACAGTTCAGGAGCAAAGGAAAAAAACTTCCAACAAATTGGAAGCATAAGGGTGGATTTCATGACCTCTAGGTACTTCTCAGGTGGCTGATCCTGTGAATTTTGCTCACAAACCTTTCAGAGCAAAGCTGCTCTGTTGAACTTTGCTCCCCTAAACATGGTCTGAGCACCTCAGAAGATTCATAAATGAACTCTATGTAGCCAAACCACTAACCTGAAGTTTTAGGGGGAAATGTAACAGCAACCATAACAGTAATACTGTCATCCAGTAACAATTTAATGTTGCTGACCAAATTCTTTTTCCTTGTCATTCCCAAGCCATAAAATGGGACAGCTCTGTGTATTTAAAGGTTTTGTTAATTTGTTTTCTTTTAAATGAGCTGCCTATATTAGCAAAATTTTAGAATTCTGGTTTTATTGCTTTCTTCTGGTTTCAGAAATTGAATTAACACATACTCACATAGATCAGTAAGGAATTAATTATACACTTCACATTAACAAAATTTTGAAATCCAGGAAGTTTTAAATATACAATATTTCAGGAGGTAATGAATGTAAGATGTTGAAGTTAGAAGCACTTATGAGAAGCAATGCTTGAATTAATTATTAGGACTTGCAGATAAACAAAATCATGAGAATAAACTTATTGCTTACAGCAACTACATTATTATGGGCTTTATCTCCATAAGTCTGTCAGCAACTACATCCAATAAATGTAAGTGTGTGTGTGTGTGTGTTTGTATGTGTGTATATATCACAGTTCACAGAAAATAAAACTGCCTAAGTAACACTCATAGTCTTTTCAGAATTCGACTTGACTGCAAACATAACAGAGTATAAATCTACAGGTAGAAGAATCAGTGTTTCATAGATTGTATCAACTATTTCCTAAATTATATCTGAAATAAAGAAACACTAAAACAAAACAAAAAAGCCTGAAAAAACCCACAAAATCCACAAACAAAAAAAACCCCCCACCAAACAACCAACCCAAATGAACAAAAAAGAAGAAAACTAAGTAGTATCTTTAAAGAACTTAGGATTTGAATAGATACTGTAAAAGAAGAGTCCTGTGAAAAGTCAGGCTGACTCCTTTGATAAGAATGTCAAGTATTTAGGGGTTTCCAAGCCTCTGATTTCCCAAATAATGGGGTCAACTTAAAAGCTGGTCATAGAGCAGAACAGATTTCTTTAAAAGCTTTTAAACTGTTATTGCTTCAAAAGATTGTCATGGTTTTCAATAATGCAAAGAGAAAATTTTATTTTGTTGCTGGTTTAAGGGGCACCACTTCAAACTTTTCTGAATTGTTTTAGGAGAACAGACTCACAGACCCTTTTGAAAAGCTAGGGAAGTGACTTCAAAGGGAAGAGAGTCTTTGTCCACTAAGCAGGTTTACGACCACTGATGCAAACCCTAAGTAAGGGCTGAAAAGAATACTCAGAGAATCTTTATGGAGATCCTTAAGGAAGATGAACAAGTCAAATGAAATTAAAGATAGTTCAAATCCTAGCACTAATAACCAGGACACAATAGTTTTACAGATGTGCTTTTCTCAGTGTAGGATATAGGGATATCCTCAGACTACCCTACCACTGGATCGCTGCTTGGAGCTGAATGTTGTAGCATTCTTAATGACACCTTCACATTGCTAAAAGTGCCATCAATGATTTATTTAAGTTACAGGAGGCATACATAAAGTTACTTTTCAGTAATGGACAGAATACTTTACCTTTGCAGCAACCAGTCAAATTATTTCAAGAGAACTCACCTACATTCCAATAAATAATTTCTGCAACACTGTTTTCCCATAGAAAATAAAATAAAATATCACTCTTACTTGAGTAACTAAAGTACATTTTAAATCATAAAAGTCAAGCTTCAGAAGATAAAAGAGCACATGATATCATGTCAGCCTGTGGTGATATATCAGTGAAAAAATGTTAGGCTTTTGGAAACTACATTTAAAAAGGAACAGTGGGATTACGGTGAAGTCAAAACTTTCTTCCAGTTTAATGACATCCAGAAGAAGAAAAGCCTTACTGGAGAGAACGTGAAATTGTTTTCTATTACTGGGTCTCTCTTTGCCATTTTTTTCAGCTTTGGTGATGTTACAATACAAAGCAGGATCATGGCATTTTAAATCCATCAGCAAATTCCTGAAATGGCTGCTTTCTTTATTTTCAGCACTAAGCTGTAAAAGCTGAACCAAACACAAGGACTCATTTGAAGAAAATGTCTTCCTAAAAGTAAACCAAATCAGAGATTAGCTAAAAAACTTACCTCACAATTAAATACAAGATAGTCTTACTACTATTTATGGGTGAGATAGTATTATGCAACACATTAAAATATAAAATATTTGACTGTGCTCCTTTTTATGTTTTATACTGTGAAGACAATTATTATAAGTCACAGAGAACTAAACAGCCATTTCTAAATTATTCTCTGATTGCAGAGGCTGTGGGACACTTTTAAATGGCAAACTAATTATGTGATTTTATGTCAGTATAAAATCCAAATAAATGAAGCATCAGTTAATCTGTCTTTTTACCATTTTCTTGCAAAAGTGATTGAGTGCTTTCTCAGAATGATACATCAACCACACCAAATTATACATGTAAGAAAGGCCTTCTAAAATTAATTTTTAAAATTTCCCGTAAGGAAAACAATAAAAGGTTTGAAATAAAGATGGGAAGTACAGATGTATGTACAGAATATAGGACATCTGGACAAAAATGCTCTCAGAAAAATGTAGGTAAGTCAAGAAAACTCACTTTCTGCTAAGGTCCAAGTTTCAGACCTTAATTGCATCAAAGTGATAACTCTCAAACATTATATAAAGTTTGTGTATTAACATTATTTATAGATCATATAATCAGCCAAATTATTAGAACCCCATTTCACTGGCATGGAAAGCTACCTGATGGATCTTACTCAAATGATACCACACAGAATCACCGAAGTATTCCTAAAGCTTCAGTTTGAATAATCTTTGCTTTATAAATAAATTTTTTTATATAACAATATAATATTTTCATATTATATAGGAACTTCATCGTTGTCTGCTTCTTCACGTGACACTCCATCAGCATTTTCTCTTAATTCCTTCAAACTGCTTTCCATCTGTTCAGACTTATTTTACCAGAAAAAGTACAACCTTATGCCAAGATACAAGTTTCAGTTTTGCAAAAAACCACTTCAACCCTGTATTTGCTGGAAAAGGAACAACCTCTTCAAACAATGTATCATTCTATCCTGAAGCAAGGTCTAAACATGTAAAGCACAGGAGATGCTATGGTTTGTTCAGTAAGGAAAAAATACATTAGCTTTATCTTGTAGGATTCATTTCAGTAAATATAACCCAGGAGGGCTCACTGTACTTCCCTCAGTGTCACTCACTGCTACAAGTGACCAACATTTATTCAGTATTAATGAAAGA